TACCTGCATGGCCCCACAGTATGCCAACATTTTTATGGCTGACTTAGAACAACGCTTCCTCAGTTCTCGTCCCCTAATGCCCCTACTCTACTTGTGCTATATTGATGACATCTTCATCATCTGGACCCATGGAAAAGAAGCCCTTGAGGAATTCCACCATGATTTCAACAATTTCCATCCCACCATCAACCTCAGCCTGGTGCAGTCCACACAAGAGATCCACTTCCTGGACACTACAGTACTAATAAACGATGGTCACATAAACACCACCTTATACCGGAAACCTACTGACCACTATTCCTACATACATGCCTCCAGCTTTCACCCTGACCACACCACACGATCCATCGTCTACAGCCAAGCTCTGCGATACAACCGCATTTACTCCAACCCCTCAGAGACAAACACCTACAAGATCTCTAGCAAGCATTCTTACAACTACAATACCCACCTGTGGAAGTGAAGAAACAGATTGATAGAGCCAGAAGAGTTCCCAGAAGTCACCTACTACAGGACAGGCCCAACAAAGAAAATAACAGAACGCCACTAGCCGTCACCTTCAGCCCCCAACTAAAACCCCTCCAACGCATTATTAAGGATCTACAACCTATCCTGAAGGATGACCCAACACTCTCACAAATCTTGGGAGACAGGCCAGTCCTTGCCTACAGACAGCCCCCCAACCTGAAGCAAATACTCACCAGCAACCACATACCACACAACAGAACCACTAACCCAGGAACCTATCCTTGCAACAAAGCCCGTTGCCAACTGTGCCCACATATCTATTCAGGGGACACCATCACAGGGCCTAATAACATCAGCCACACTATCAGAGGCTTGTTCACCTGCGCATCTACCAATGTGATATATGCCATCATGTGCCAGCAATGCCCCTTTGCCATGTGGATTGGTCAAACTGGACAGTCTCTATGTAAAAGAATAAATGGACACAAATCAGATATCAAGAATTATAACATTCATAAACCAGTCGGAGAACACTTCAGTCTCTCTGGTCACACGATTACAGACATGAAAGTTGGGATATTACAACAAAAATACTTCAAAACCAGACTCTAGCGAGACTGTTGAATTGGAATTCATTTGCAAATTTGATACAATTAACTTAGGTTACCTTGCATAATGACTTAGTCACTCCCAGTCTCTATTCAAGCCTATTTCCCCTTGTTTTTTCCTACACCCCCCTCCCCCCCCAGAGGTTCTTGTTAAACCCTGGATTTGTGCTGGAAATGGCCCACCTTGATTATCATACACATTGTAAGGAGAGTGATCACTTTAAATAAGCTATTACCAGCAGGAGGGTGGGGGGAGAGAAAACCTTTTGTAATGGTAAACACCCATTTTTTTCATGCTTTGTGTATAAAAAGATCTTCTACACTTTCCACAGTATGCATCCGATGAAGTGAACTGTAGCTCACGAAAGCTCATGCTCAAATAAATTGGTTAGTCTCTAAGGTGCCACAAGTCCTCCTTTTCTTTTTGCGAATACAGACTAACCCGGCTGTTACTCTGAAACCTATCACTTCATGTAGATAAGGAACTGCTGGTTATTACCCAGCTTTTTTTTAAAAAAGCAAACAAACAAAAACACCAATCAGTTAAGTTAGATTAAGATATTGTAGCTGATGAGACATAAAAGATGTTTTAGCTCAGGGGCTCTCAACCTCTCCAGACTATTGTACCCCTTTCAGGAGTCTGATTTGTGTTGTGCACTCCAAGTTTCACCTTACTTAAAAATGACTTTCTGACAAAATCAGATATAAAAATACAGAAGTGTCACAGCACACTATCACTGAAATATTGCTTACTCTCTCATTTTTACCATATCATTATAAAAATCAGTTGGGGTGTAAATATTGTACTTACATTTCAGTGTATAGTATTTAGAGCAGTATAAACAAGTCATTGTCTATGAAATTTTAGTTTGTACTGACTTGGCTAGTGCTTTTTATGTAGCCTGTTGTAAAACAAGGCAAATATCTAGATGGAAAACCTCTGCATACCTCCAGGGCTATGCATACCCCTGGTTCGGGAACCACTAAGAACATAAGAATGGCCCTACTGGGTCAGACCAAAGGTCCATCTAGCCCAGAATCCTGTCTTCTGACAGTGGCCAGTGCCAGGTGCCCCAGAGGGAATGAACAGAACAGTTAATCATCAAGTGATCCATCCCCATAGCTCATTCTGGCAATCAGAGGCTAGGGACACCATTTCTGCCATCCTGACTAATAGCCATTGATGGACCTATCCTCCATGAATTTATCTAGTTCTTTTTTGAACCCTGTTGTAGTCATGGGCTGCTTTTTAATTCTTTCAATTAAAATTCCATCACTTGAACTTAAAAGAAGTGGGGCTGGGTCATATGGAGCTGTACAGGGAATCAAATTAAAGAACTCGTTACAACAGAGTACATGGTTCACTTTGAGTATTGCCTACATATATAGAGTCACATTCCTGAAAGTTTTATTAGCAATCATCCTTGTGGAAGATCTAATTAAATAAAGACAAACAGCTACATAAAATATCAGATTCTGAAGTTATACCTAGAGAGTAATTGTGTGTGAAAGAAAGCTGTGTAGCAGCTGTGCATTTCAGCTGGGTGATTAGAGCTGGGTAAAAAAAATTCAGTCAATAGTACAGTAGATGGAAAATGCATTTTGTGGGGGCTCTGAAACTCAAGTCAGATCAAATTTGACAGTTTGGGCCAAAAAAATTTTTTTGCAAAAGTCTAAACTGTTTAGTTTGACCATTTGGAAACAACATTTCAATCCTTCACTTCACTTTTTGTTTTGAAAATTAGCTATATTTAAGCAAACATGAACACCCCCCAAAGAGAAATGAAAAACTTAATTTTGTTTCATTTCAGTTTTTTTCCATTTCTGGTGTGTTTTGATCTGAAACGAAATTTTCAGTTCTGAAACCATTTTTTTTTTCTTACCAAAACAAATTTTTTTAGAAGGGATCTTTTGGTTGGTCCCTAAACTGAAAAATTATTTGCTCACTTCTAGTGGCAATTGCTTTGGCTCAGTGGCTTGAGAACTGTCACTTAATCAGCCCCTTAAATTGTAACATGTCTTGATGCAGTGTTACATAGCTATGGGTTTATGCCCATAAACTACAAATAAACAAGGGGACTTTTTAATTGAACAAAATCTACTAAGATAATAGCTCAGTGCACTCTTGACATACAAGCTATGTAGTTTAGGGCAGGTCTACACTGACAGCTGCACCAATGCAACGTTTTAAGTGAAGATGCTCCAATACTGATGGGAGAGCTTCTCCCATCACTGTAGTTACTCCACCTGCACAAGAGGCAGTAGCTATGTTGACAGCACTGTGGGTTAGCTTGGTAGGGCTGTGGATTTTTCACACCTCTGCAGGATATAGTTATACCCATGTAAGTCACTAGTGTAAACCTGGCCTTAGTCTTTGTTGGTAATTCTTGTGGTTTGGTTGGGAGGTTGAGACTGTTAGGTCATCTTATCCTCAGGGAACATTGTGCATGAGAACACCCATCAACTTAATAACCTTCCTCTCTGATGTCAATAAAACAGAGGATGGAGAGCTATCCTGAAAGGGTTTGTTTCATCAGTGTGTTGAGGGGTAGGCTTAAATCTTATAGGTGTGGATCTATGAACAGATGGAATGGCATGTCATAGCCTCTTGAGAAATCTTGTCACTGAACAGAGTGGAGTCTTAAACGGGAATCTGCAGTAGGCTGGACTATGTCAGTAGTAGGAGATGGAACAACAGTAGACCTAAGCTCAGTCTGGTTGCAGATGCCCCAGTAGAGAATCTTTCATTTTGCAGCATGGGTTTATCTAGAAGCATTACAGCTTCTTGGTAACTATTGTACTTACAAACCTGCCATGGCTTCAAAGAGCTGCAGGGATTTCAGGTCCAAGTGTAGAATGCTGCCTTTTTAAAAGTGAGTAGGCTAGAAATATGCTATGCATTAATAGCTTAAAAATAAGCCTTTCTACCTAGAAACTATTCTTGCTATGAGGAGCAGACTTGTGGGTCATAGTAGATTTGGAATACCCCATGCATCCAAGTCTTTGGCCTGTTTAATGACGATAAGGTACCATTCAATGAAGGATTGGAGTCACAGCAGCCAATCAATCAAACAGGCTGAGTTTTCTCTGAACAGCTGCCAGTTTCAAGCATAATGCTGTAGATAGATAGGTTAAGGATTTCAAAATCTTTCAGGGCTAGTTAAGAGGAGAGATAGTAGCTGAGGTGGTCACTGCATCCTGCGAGGAGGAGGAATGGGTTCCTACTCTCTTGAGGATTCAGTCTTCAGAAAGAAGTGCAGGGCCTATTACCACAGTTAACAGCCAGAATGGACTATTATGAGCATTTGATCTTACTGTCTGTATAATACAGGCCATAGACTTTTACCTAGTAGTTCATACATCAAGACCATTGCCCGTGGTTGACCTAAAGCTTACTTTCCAGAAAGACATCCAATCTTGACTGAGTCTTCATGTGATTGGAGACCCCACCTCATGTTGTTCCAATGTTTTAATTACCTGCATTGCTCAAATCAGGCTAGATGTGAGGCTATTTATCTTCTGTAGAACCTTGCAGGAGACCTGGGTTTGGGAGGTGGGGTGAGTCCCTGCTCTGTCTATGCCAACAAAGCACAAGGCCCTTTGCCAAGCATCTCCCTGGCACAAGCGAAGCACTCTCTGTGTGTGTGCACACCATAGAAGGGTACCATGTGCAACATGATACCTTATTAGTCACACTAGTACTGAGTCCCTCTGGACTGAGACTAAAGCAGTTATTTAAACTCGAAGATGTACAGCTCAATGGCACTAAACAGCTAGAGGAGGTTGTGATTAGTTTCTCTGGCTGCCAGAAGGAAATGAGTGATGGGCCATGACTCCTTGTATATCCTTTGATACTGTGAGGGATGATGTGTAAAGCTTTCCAGAAGGCCAAGATGTGGATCATGCAGGCAATTCTTAAAGGAGTTTGACCAGAATATTTACATATTTTATTAAATCTTTACAATCAGCAATTATAATCCAGTACTCAATTATATACAAGGATTATATACATTTTAGCCCAGACTTTTACATCACAGTACACAGTTGCTCTTAGAAATATTGTATACACTTATCACCAGACAGTAAAACCCAACAGTAGTATTACAGCACCTGTTATTAGATATTTCATAAGTTACATCATAAGAAAATATATGGATGTAAATTGGGCTGGTAAAAAATCCTATAAAATCCAAACATACAATATTTCATTCACAGAATGTTTTTTTTATGTTCTGACTGAAGCCTTTGCATAAGGTGTCCTGTTAACATTCACTACAATCTTGCCACACACTGTTTCACTGACTAAAGCTAAGCCTTCAGCTAAAACCACGGTGGGAGGAGGAGGAGAAACAATGCTCAGTTTATTTTAAAACTTCATTATGAAACAGTAAGTGTAAATAGAGAATATTCCTTTAACATCAAAGGAAATATTAAATTGGAGACTTTAGAATTCTTATTCCCTAATGTAATTCAAACTCTTCAGTGTTCTAGTTAACCAAATAGAGCAGGGAAATATACACATGATATTGACTTAGTGATGCAAGAGGAATATTCTCTAAGCACAATAGAAGTTTTTAAAAATTTGCAAAGTACACTCTACTCCTCTCCAAAATTATCTTCTGTTCAATCACACATTCCTTTTGCTTTTTAAAATGGCATTAACATGTTACAGAAACTTTTATTGTATTTTTAGAGTGATATGAAGAGGTTAAAACTAAAGTCTATTTCCATCTTTATTAGGAAAAAGACAGTGAAAAAACCTGAATAAAATTGTCCCCTAATTTATCCTTTTTTCCCCAAAAGGTCTACTTTACCTGAATCAGTTCTGTAAACCATGGATCTATGGCCATCATAATCGCTTAAAAAAGGTAAAGTTAAAGTTAAACTAATCTCAAAAAAAGGGACAACATTTATCTGAGGTAGACCACCACACAATAGATGCTTCAAAAATTATATCAAGGGATTCTCTTAACAATCCCTCACTTCAGAGGATGGAATGTGCCTGTGTCAGAACTGTTGTGTTGGTGCTTACACTTAATGTAAGGTTAGTCAGTCATAAATGATTACCTTGTGGTGACAGGGAGAATTAGAGCATCAACTTCTAATAACGTTTCTAAAGACAAATTTTAGCATTAACAACTAAATCACTTTCTGCAGGAAGGAACTGAAAACTTTAGCTGTCATATTAAAAATTTAATTTGACAAACCTTTTGCTAATGTAATGACCAGAAAACCACTTTACATACAATCCTTAAAAATACCTAAACGAAGGTACTTCCATGGTGAGATCAGAGAATATAACCACAGAACCTGTGCAGCTTTTATTAGTGTAGCCTACATCCAGTAGAGTTAGAATAAAAACCCTCATTAGTGGCACCAGATTCTGACATTTGGAAATATCTAACTCCTTTTTAGAGTTAAGATTTCTGAACTACACCACCGTATGGTGCAACTGGTCACTTGCAGCCATATCATCTGTTGCCCAGAAAAACACACACTGGATTCTGTGGCCATACCAGGCATGCCTCAATTGCATGAGCTGGGCACCTGTTACAAAGGACACTTCAAAGATTTTGAGGAATAATCCCATCCTTTAAAATCAATCCCTCAGTCTAAAATGATGAAGTATTAAGCTTCAGCGCTGTACCAATATATTAAGCCCAAACCTCCATAGTTATTTGTGCAAAGAAATTAAAACTACATTTTAAAAGGACACTTATTCACTAGTTCCCTACTGCTTCACTATCTCAAAGTTAACTACATCTCTATTCAGTTAAATTGTCATTCAATTTCTGTGTAGTATTATGATTGACTAACATGCTCTCAAAGGTACTTGTGCATTTTGATACTCTTGAGAGCAAGTGTCACTGTCAGATTACATGTATACAACATTTGTCTGGGACTTGAAACCGTAGATAAATATACACAAGTACAATACAGTATGGCTGTACTGATTGACATTTGCATATTCGGCACATTTTAATCTCACCAGTAAAATGAAAGGTGCACTTCAGACAGGGATACATCTGTCTGCCATTATAAAGATTATATATAAATATAAAAACTTTCAGTTTTAGTCTGGTGCGTGATATAGGCAGTGTTAAGTCTCTCTTTGAAAAGGAAAAAACAGATTAATTAAATACTGAATTGAACCATAATTAACTAAAACCTGTGTCTATATATCAACTTAAAATAGATTTTTGGCAGTTTTAATTTGGACACAGTTAAGCTAACTGCTTCTTGTTTGCTTAAACAGATTTGTGGTTTAATTAGAGGATACTTCCGAAAACATGATAAATTAGGAACCAGGCTTACCTGTATTTAAAAAAAAAACCAAAAAAAAAAAAAACCCAGATGCCACGAAGTATATCAATTATTCTTTGACTTCACATCACTAAATTTTGAATTATGGACCCAACAGCTAAAGGTAAACAGTTGTACTTCACTATTGATACTGGCTTTCTTGCCCAAAATGTTACAAATTTAAGGCTGACAGATATAGATCTTGTAGAGAAAACAGAAATTGTCATAGATACTCAACAGATGAGAATTTCAATTTTCAGAGAATAATAATGCTAAATTCTGTATATTAGGGTAGTTTTAAGCTTGATAGCTTTAAGCATGGAAGGCCAAAAAGGAAAAATTGTATTAAAACATGTTTTGCCCAATTTACCTTAATTCAAGTAACAATCTTCATAATCACTGTGAACCTTTATGTACTACTCCTCTAGTTAGCAAAGCTTTCTTAATTTTCCTAAGAGAGCTTCCTAATACAGCACATTACCTTTGGTTTATACAGCCTCTAGTTGAAATAAGAGCAGAAGAGGAAAAATCCAGGTCATCTTGGACATTCTTCAAAACAGATGGAAGGAGTGATGAGCAACACTGCTATATCTTATTAAGATATAAATGTCAGGACAAATTGAGCTGTTTCTAGCTGTGTTTTAAAGACATTACAGCTGGAAATGTCTCACAGTTGCACCTATTTCTCTCCATAAAGGCCTTTATCAGTGAAACTGAACCTTCAACTAGAATAGCCTCTGACTATTGCCTTCAAGTGCCATAACCAGCCAACAAGTGGTGTATTAATCCCATTACATTCAACTTCTACCTTTCTAGAGGCCAAGGCAATCTGCTCTCCAGAAGCCTGGAATGCAGAAATCTGATTAATTCCCTGAATGAAACCTTCTGTATTACAGCACCATGCAACAGAGCCATACAAACAGTTCAATTGCACATTCCCATTTCAAAACAGGAAAAATTAAAACCATATAAATTATAACACATGCTGGGTTTCTATTATCCAGGTGAAACCTGGTTGCTCATCACAATACTGAACAATTTCTAATTCTTAGATATTAGGGCCTCACTTTTACCCAACAAATTCACCATTTTGTTTATCCACAAATAAGTTATTAGAAGTCATAGTTCATCCTTTTCCATCATTTCAAATGCTTCTATATCTTCATTCCAATCTGCTAATATGGATTCCATAGGCTGTACTCTATTATCCCAATTAACATTGGAGCTGGAATCTCTCTCAGTCTGAGATTGTTCCCGAGGCTTGTTATCTAATTCTGTACTTTCTGTCTCTTGAACAATAGCCTCATGGATTTCTGTGATACAGGACTCCTGGTTTGAAATGGAAATGCTATCACTGTCTGCATCAGCAGGAGATAATGAATCGAGGTGAGTAACATCAGAACTTTCTTCTCCTTCAGGCTCTTGACTGACCAAGCTGAGGTCCTCAGATGCTGAAGTCGTTTCTGGTCTCTGCTTATGTGAATCATTTTCAGATGACTTCTGGTCCATGTTTTCCATTTCCAGATCTTTATTTAAAAAAAGAAAAAAAAAAGAATTTTGTAAGTACTTTCAAAAGGCAATTGAAATACACTAGGAAATGAACACTTACATTTTATTTTCAATTGTCTCCCTTGATCTTATTCCAGACCTCATGAAGGTTCAGATTTTTATTAGTATGGAGAATCTTAGTCCCTCGAGTGCTGTGTATTAAGCCTTTTGCAAATACTGTTTTTTAACTGTGAAGTTAATTTATCATTTGCTCATAAGTTTAGTCAATTCACGGTACTAGCATTTGTAGTGGTTCTTCAGGCTTACCTAGCAATGCTCTTATGTCACTGTTTTCTGCCTCTTAATCATGAGTGTACAGTTCAGCCCACCATGGCTCTTGTATTACGAAATTGGACTTTAGTGCAGCCCAAAGATCCATGAAAGGTAGTGTGTACAGCCACAAGGTCTTCATTTGATAAACTGGCAAAGCTATGATCTATTCTTTTATATTTAAATTCAGACATACTAATACATAAATCTGCATCCTACCTTGGCTCCCCATTACATTAATGTTAGAAGGTTCTTCTGGTTCAGTTACATAAATGTTCAAAACTAAAGAAAACTGACACTGCTAAATAAAGGAAACTGTTTTTAAGAATGCTAGGTAGTCCAACTGTATATAACTTGATTATTAATATAAGATACTTACTGCTATCAATAATGTAGTTTGGAATCATTTTACCTTTAAATATTGTTGCTGAAATTCCAATGGTAGCACAAGGAGGGGAGAAAGCACATATGCATTAAAAATCCGTAACACATAATATTCTCTTGTTTGGTGGAAGCGAAGGATTGGTTTGTTTATACTGCAGTTGCCCCAGTAGAGCGAAGAACTACTTTGAACAGTTCACCCATTGGTATAAATAGATGGACATCAAGATTCCATGTGAGGAATCCAGAAGTGCTGTAACTTTGCGTTTCAGCTTTGTACATATGATGGGGAAAAATGAATGTGCTAATATTAGTTTACTAGAGAAGTTCAAGTTCATATGCTGCTCCCCAAATATCCTGTTTGAAAAAAAGCAGTATTACTGGAATGGGAAAGTTTGTTAAAAAAGAGTCTAGAAATAATATCCCCTATGTACGCTGATGGAACGGATAGAGCCACACAAGCAGGATAATTAATATCATGTAAAATTACTGGTGCTGGCAACTTTAATCTCCTAAGAACGGCCATAGTGGATCACAGCAAAGGTCCATCTAGTCCAGTATCCTGCTTCTGACAGTGGCCAATGCCAGGTGCCCCAGAGGGAATGAACAGAACAGGTAATCATCATGTGATCCATCCCGTCGCCTATTCCCAGTTTCCGGCAAACCTAGGCTAGGGACATCATCCCTACCATTCTGGCTAATAGCCATTGATGGATCTATCCTCCATGAACTTATCTAGTTCTTTTTTGAACCCTGTTATAGTCTTTGACTTCACAACATCCTCTGGTAAAGAGTTCCACAGCTTGACTTTGCGTTGTGTGAAGAAATACTTCCTTTTGTTTTAAACCTGCTGCCTATTAATTTCATTTGGCGACCCCCTAGTTCTTGTGTTATGAGGAGTAAATAACACTTCTTTATTTACTTTCTCCACACCAGTCATGATTTTATAGACCTCTATCATTTCCCCCCTTAGTTGTCTCTTTAAAAGTCCCAGTCTTACTAATCTCTCCTCATATGGAAGTCGTTCTATAACCCTAATCATTTTGGCTGCCCTTTCTGAACCTTTTCCAATTCCAATATATCTTTTTTGAGATGGGGCGACCACATCTGAACGCAGAATTCAAGATGTGGGCATAAAATGGATTTATATAGAGGCAATATGATATTTTCTGTCCTATTATCTATCCCTTTCTTAATGATTCCCGACATTGTTCATTTTTGACTGCTGCTGCACATTGAGTGGATGTTTTCAGAGAACTATCCACAATGAGTCCAAGATCACTTTCTTGAATGGTAAGAGCTAATTTCGATCCCATCATTTTATATGTATAGGTGGACTGTTTTCCAATGTGCATTACTTTGCATTTATGAACACTGAATTTCATCTTCCATTTTGTTGCCCAGTCACCCAGTTTTGAGAGATCCTCTTGTAGCTCTTCGCAGTCTCCCTGGGACTTAACTATCTTGAGTAGTTTTGTATCATCTGCAAATGTTGCCACCTCACTGTTTGTTCCTTTTTCCAGATCATTTATAATATGTTGAATAGGGCTGGTCCCAGAACAGACCCCTGGGGGACACCACTATTTACCTCTCTCCATTATGAAAACTGACCATTTATTCCTACCCTTTGTTTTGTATCTTTTAACCAGTTACCAGTCCATGAGAGGACCTTCCCTCTTATCCCAGGATTGCTTAAGTGCCTTTCGTGAGGGACCTTGTCAAAGGCTTTCTGAAAATCTAAATACACTATATATCCACTGGATTCCCCTTGTCCTTATGCTTGTTGACCCCCTCACAGAATTCTAGTAGACTGGGGAGGCATAATTTCCCTTTACAAAAAACATGTTGACTCTTCCCCAACAAATTATGTTCCTCTATGTGTCTGACAATTTTGTGCTTTACTATAGTTTCAACCAGTTTGCCCAGTACTGAAGTGAGGCTTACTGGCCTGTAGTTGCCAGGGTCACCTTTAGAGCCCTTTTAAAAAATTGGCGTCACATTAGCTATCCTCAAATTTGGTATTTGGTACGGAAGCTGATTTGAATGATAGGTTACAGACTACAGTTAGTAGTCCTACAATTTCACATTTGAGTTCCTTCAGAACTCTTGGGTGAATACCATCAGGTCCTGGTGAATTATTACTGTTTAGTTTATCAGTTTGTTCCAAAACCACCTCTAATGACACCTCAATCTGGGACAGATTTTATACTATTTTCCTCACTAGGATTTAACTTCCACTTTTTAAAGGATGCCTTTTTCCCCTCTCACTTCTTTTTACTTTGTTGTTTAGCTATGGTGGCTCTTCTTTGGTTCTCTTACTACGTTTTTTAATTTGTAGTATACACTTAAGTTGAGCCTTTACTATGGTGTCTTTAAAAAGTTTCCATGCAGTTTGCAGGGATTTTACTTTTGGTGCTGTACCTTTTAATTTCTATTTAACTGACTACCTCATTTTTGTGTAGTTCCCCTTTCTGAAATTAAATGCTCAATGAGAACCACTTCTGCCTGGTCTTTGCAGTGAGAAAAATCAGATCTATCTTTATAGATATGAAGAACATCACTTGGAACTGAGAAACATCTACAAGTCAGGACCCTGAAACACACACAGCCTAGATATCAAAGCAGAATATGAAAAGCTCTTCCAAGAAAAAAGGGTTTCAGAGGCTTAAATAAAAATAAACCCAACCACGTTGTAGCACTACTAGTCTAATTCGTTACAGCAAAATTATAACGTTCACTTTTTCTGTTTGGGACCTTGTGTAAAGTGTTTCAAGTTAAATAAGTTGGACATGTATTGGGAAATTCTAAGAGATGGTTACAGTTTGAATGAAACTAATTCAACAAACTAGAATTATGGAAGTCAAACAGAATTTTCACCTCAATCCCAATTCACTTATTTTTTTCAGGTAGAAAATAAGAACCATTGTTTGTTTTATATTTCACATTATGCCAACTGATAAAGATTATTACTTATCTTTATAAGACACGAATGGCTTTACCCTTACCTCTGTCTTTTGCTTTATCAGAAAGAAGCACTTCTACAGCCTCGTATTCTCGGATTGCATCAAGTATAATATTTCCTTCTTTGCTGAACAGGAAGAGCATGGGGATTTTGATATCGTCTGTATTCTTTCCATCACCAGCCATTTGGAATAAAGGAGCAGTGTCGCTGCTGCTTCCCTCATTGTCATCTAGCCAACAGAAGGTCAGAGTAAGCAAGCTTTTCCATTATGGACGTCGGTCAGGATTGGTGCTCTCTCATTACACAGGATAAAGGCAGCTTGAATAGCTGGTGTGGGAATTTCAGAGAATGTGCTGTAGTTTAATTAGAATTCCCCAGATTTACAATTTTCTAACCTTATTTCCTGGTGGAGACAGCAAAGAAGAGGTTTGAGTGGACAGAAGCAAGTTAAGTCAAAAGGGGGAATGTATTTCAATTCTGTTTGCTTGCCTGAGATGGTGATGAGACTTTGTGGGTGGGAGGCAATATTGTTTGGCATGTCCAGCAGTTTTAATTTTTTATTTTCAATTTGCCTCAAAAGGTGGATGCCTGCCTGGCTGTGGAAAGTCAAGAACAGTACTGGACCTAGAAGGAAAAAGCTATTTCACAAGCAGATGCATTCCTGAATGTAAAAGGTCTCAATGTACATCATTTCAGGATTGCTACTAATCAGTTATCTATTTTCAGTACTGAAATCACAGTTACTCAACTTTTAATAAGGAACGTAAATGGTACATTCCACTCTAGAACTACTAACTTAGCTGGGAAAGCATAGACTAGGAAATGAAGATTATAGAAAGAACAACCATTCTTTCATTTTACAACATTCAGCTCCAAACAGAAGTTAATTCGTAACTTCTGATTTGTCAGAACAAACCCCCTCACTGAATTTCTCCACTAGTAGGTTTCTGTCTGGCTCCATTCTGTTGTGCAAGCAGGATATTAAGTATACACACCTCCTTTGTTCCAACAACAGGATTTCTGTACCTTGTTGTGCTGACTGCTCACAAGAATGTAACAGATGCCCGCCACCCTTGAAAATATGCTTATATATAATCTAAATAATCTTGTGGAAAACACAGGTTACAGTTGTACAAAACAAAAAAGATAGTTTTATTTACCAATAACAATGCCCCCTATTGCTCCAGCTTTTTGGATGTTTCGTGCCTTTTCAGCAAACATGCACTGGCCTCTCTGCATCAAAGCAATTTTCTCCTTCACTGATTCAGGATTAGTGATCTCCGAGCATCCATTGTAAGGTTTACTGGTTGCAACAAATCCTCTTGTCTGTTTGAGAGATGTAATGATTTAAAATACTGGAGTCAAACCTGTAAATGTTTCCTACCTTTTATAATTTTTCCAGTCATCCCGTGTTTCCCAGCATACTACAGGACCTTTATCATGGAATCTTTATTATGACAGATTCTCAAAAAACTTGTCTAATCAACAATTTTTAAACTAATTTCTTTGAACAGTTTGGACTGATTTGGCTTTCACATAGTACAAACAAAAAGGCTATTATAAGATGCTGGGCCAACATCTGTAACCTTTTAAGTATAGTCAACAAAATACAGAATAATTATGGTTAAGATATCACAAACCATGTAAGAGCACACTTTGTTTCATATCTAGAGTATACCCTGTGGGCTGAAATCCTGCTCCCATTAAAGTTAATGGGAGTTTTGCCATTGACTTCACAGGGGACAAGTAATTTTCTCTTTATCGAGAAAGACACTTTCTCTGAACTTCTGATGGGCTAAGGAGAGCCTAATCCTCATTAAACTTTTAAAATGTTGTTAATTGGCAGCCATGAATGGCAGCCATGCTGAATCCTAGCAGCTTGACAAGCTCTCTTCCCTTACATTGGCCTCTCCCCCTAGGATGCAAGAGTTATATTCCACATACAGCATTCAGAAAACAACTGGAGCACCTGCATGTGGAGGCTGAATCATGACTGTTGCCTAAGGAAACACAGACTGAACTCTGCGGTGTCTGAGTCAGAAGAAAGAAACAATCTAAAATTCTAACTATTTTAAATGTCTATTATAAATCTAAGTGCTAGCTGAGTATTTTGAAATAAATGCAATACTAGAAAATTAAGACCAATGCAACAGAGAAAAAGCACAAATAAATAAAATTCAAGAGCAAATCATACGTTCTAAAGATTTTCACATTATACATACCCCTACGCTGTGTTTGGATAGGTCCATTCCAAATTGTGCTGGCCCAGCTGTCAATACTACCCTGCCAAAGAATGGGTGGGAAACAATTTGAACAGCACGTGGGGGTAGCTGCTGCTCTTTTTGTTGCTGACTGGATAGTTCAATCATTTCCTGCATGAATCGCAAACCATCTTCAGCATCAAGTGAACTTGCTGCCTAAGGAGTAAAGACATTAGGATAAGTGGCGGCTTAAATATTTTGCAGAACCAAAATTTTACTGCCACTGGTGAATTCATCAAAGGTCATGGTTATAGCCAACCTCCTGGAAAAAGAGCTGGCTTGTTCCAGAATCTGCCAATATTGCCTCCAATCAACCAGGCTGAGAAGGAAAAAGTAATTGAGAGCACTGCATTCTAAAGTCTAGCTCCCAGAGGCCCATGACCTTTCCATCAGCTGTTTTGTAGTATTTTATATGTAATTCTTTGTTAATTATACTTTAAGAATCTATCAAATCTGTCACAAATTTCATTTTTTCCAAATCTCTGGTTTATACAAGTTTGATTATTTTTAAATTGCAATGGAAAGAGTTGTTTTTAAACTAATAAACCTTTCCCTGCTATGTCTATTTTCAGGTATTGCAGCAGAAAACCTGAAGCCAAATCTAAACAAAATGGGAACTGACTTGATCCTCATTGTCCAGTCTGAGAAATGCCAAAGTTAAACAGCACAAGCTATTAAAACCAAAAATTCTTGAACATCTAATTTTTCCTTTATCAGTAACAGAATTATGTTTATAATAAAACAACTGACAAGTGTTCTTTAAAATTTAAACTAAAGAAAAATACTAATGCAATAGATATACAAAAAAAAGTCAACTTGACCACATATAATAAGTCTAAGGTAAATAAGTAGTGTATTTTGACTCTTGTGTAAAATACATGAATGTGCTATTTTGCTGATCTGGAATTTGTGGTAAATCCATACTTTTAAAGCAGTCTTCAGACAAAATATTGTTTGCAGAGAGTCACACTGTTGATGCTTTATCAGATAAACAGAAAAATGTTAAAGGGCACGTGAAAGGTAAAAATAAGTTAGAATTATTTCTGTGCCGCACAGTTGGTCAAAAAATCACACTAGAAATACCACCAATTAGAAATTTCTGGATGACACTGAAGACTAGCAGTATGACAAAACCCTAATGTTGGAGTATTTCCAAAGAATATCATCTGATAATTACAATACTTATGTATTTGTACAGTACCTTTCACGTGCCCTTTAACATTTTTCACTTTACAAAAGTGGGTAATTATTTTGATAGCATTCTGGTTTCTCTCTCTAATCCTGAAAATAAATTTTATGCTCCAGACTCAGGGCTTTTGTGAATTTTGACAAGGCCAAGTATAAGATTATAAACTCTAAATCCATGATACAGCAAGTGCCAAGTATTTAAAAATGTATTTGAAACCATCCATCTTAAATGTAGCCTTGGGCTACTATGATACATTACGTACACAAACTTAATTTCTAGAGGCTCACTTTAAAAGAAGATTAAATTGATGTCTATTTAATACCAATTTATTTATGGCATATACATCACATTCTATATTAGATAGTGATGCAGGTCTGGGATGCTGAGAGACTTAACTATGAAGCAATCAAGCTAATATTTGTCTTAAATATTACATTCTCTTACTATAATGAAAAAAATCCATTCACATACATGTGTAGTACCAAGACTGTACTGTTTGAAAAAGATACTTTTGTTCTATTATATAAAAACTGAAAAATAGAACTACGCTTGATGCCAATCTAACTAAAACACTAGAGCTTTAGAAACACACATTTAAAATGATTTATTTTATGATCTTGCTATTTGAAGGAGGAATTTTTACCCTAAAGCACAAACATTTGAACAAACATTTGTAATTTTAAACTAAACTACTTTTTTCTCCTTTTCTGTGCTATTTTTAGATTTGTTCGAACAAGTGCTCTTTCCTTCAGTCCAGCTTCTCCTTACAATGACGTCTTAATTAGGGCACCATATCTTCTACAATTCAGGGACTGCCAAATCTGTGCCTCACAATCTATGCATTCATTTTTAAAAAAAAGTTTTTATTCTTAGTGGCAGCAAAGAAAACTTTCCAAATGTGACCTGTATGCAAACTCGTGCAGTGATGTCTGCTTGAATCTGCAGACAGCCTGACACAATAGTTTAACTTTGCTGGAGGGCTGGTTAACTTATCAGCTGTAGATTCAGACACTTAACAACTGCACCTCTGATCATGCTAGTAAAGCTTACATGCTTCAGGTGCCAAATGTCCAAGCTGCCAAAATCTGCAGCTTCCCACCCCCCGAAATTCTATTATGCTGTTATGAGTTTAATGCAAAACTGTAGCACATTGCAAATTAAGTTTACAGACAGCAAAAAAACTGCATGTAATACTCAATTAAACAAATGCAAGGATTACTGATTGAACTAAATATGAAAATGAATACTACAATAAAAATTCACATTAATTTCTGTGGGTGTTGCCCTATCCAAGTCTTTTGCTGAAATGTAAATGGGGCACTGGTTGTAACAAGTGGAGATAATGGCACTTAATTGCAAGACAAAGTTGAAGAGGCAAAAAACACTTTAGTTTAAAAATGTTATTTTTCACATGTAGCAACAAAGGAAAGGTAAAAAGGTATGCTGAAAGCTTCTTTTTAAAATTAAGCAACAAACTGTGGAAATAGAGTGAAACCAAGGGATGAAATCTGCTCCTATTGCAGTCATTGGGAATTTTTCTACTGATTTCAATGGGCCAAGATTTCTACAAAATATATGTGGGTCTTACTTGAATTGCGTGCTGCACTAATTGTACTCTTCCATCTTTGAGGTGAATCAAACTGACTCCCATCTTCTTCAGTATCTCCAAATGCTCAGGGTTACTGGCCATGAAATCCCTGGCTCTCAGGGGCGGTTTTGGTCCACTCCCAAAACTCTCTTCTCTGCCAAAGAGAGTAAGGATCAAAGTTTCATCCTGGTACATTTGTTAAAAAAAATATCTAACAGTTTTACACATGAGAGGTGCGCAAAGCTAGAGACATAATATATACAAAGCCATCAAAACCATAGGCACCAACTCCATGGGTGCTACAGGGCTGGAGCACTCACCAGCAGCCAAGCTCCCCTCTACCTCCCAAGCACATCCCCACTCCTCCCAGCGTTTCTCACCCAGCCACTGCCAAACAGCTGTTTGGCAGCATTAGCACACTCAGGGGGCAGGAGAATGTGACATGCTCCAGGGAGGGGGTGGGGATATGGGGAAGGAGTTGGAATATTGGCAGGGAGGGGATGGAGTTGGGGCAGGGAAGGGGCGATCAAGCACCCACATGAAAGAGGGGAAGTCGGTGCCTATGATCAGAACCCATTCCTATCTTCTAATGTCTGAGCATCCCACTGGAGTATCTCAAGCTGAAAAGTAAAGTTCTAGCAAACAAAAAACTCTTGGTAAAATGTTACCTTAAAATTATAATTGTTTTAAAAAGCTGTGAACTTCCCCAACAATTTTCTAGTGCAATGTTGATAATGTAAAACTGATATATCAGCAATCTGATTAAAGTGTGAGCCAGCACTCTTCAATATCATTTCTAAATGTTCAGCATTTTGGTAATAAATGAAAATAAATTTGAATAAAACCAGAAAAGCCAGTTTTCCTAACAGACTGAGCATCAGATGCATATAATGCAACTGTTACTCAGCCCACTTAATTTTCACCTGCATAAATATTACAGTAGTCATATAAAGGCAGATATTTTCCAAATTTTACAGAACCACCTAAAATAAGATACAAGATTATCTATAGCAGCATTAATAAAATAAAGTCAAGGAAAAGTGTTTATTCAGTTGATTATAAAAATGAAACTTCATTTTCTTATTTATTCTCAGTGATTTCAGATCCTCTTTGCTCTGTTTACAAATTGATTTTTTTTTCCTAATTGGCACTGCTGCAATCCCAAATTAGGATCTGTGATTTGTGCTGAGCTCCATCTACTCTTACATAATCAACTGCAGCTGGAAGTTAGCTGAACGCTGATAGGAAATGCAGCTAGCTTTAGGGCCAAAAGGAATACCATCTTGTGAACAAAGTAAGCATATCTGACTAACATATGCAGAGGAGATAGGGAGGCTTGGTTTTTTGGGGGGGTGGAGGGTTTAGTTTTTTTGGGTTTTTTTAATTGAATGACAGCCAATTTTCTGGCCATTCCTAGCAACGGAAGATATAAAACATGCTTCTTACACTCTGGCAACGCCCCTAGGACAGCTCTTATCCACCACATTTTTCAAAGGTTCACGGATACTCTGAGCATACATAGGGTCATTTGGGAAGAGAATCTGGGTGTTCGGACATGTCCACTCAAAGTTACTGTCATCCAGCTCCGTGTATTCTGTTGTCTATAATGAACAAAGCAGATTATCTATTAAGAAACCCAATTACTCTAAATTTCTTATCAAAAGAAAATATCAAACAGTAGACTGCATCATCAAAAGTTAATTGTATACAAAGCATAGTACTGAAGGTAGGAAGGTATATACAACTGCAATTACTAGTGAAGAATAGTAAGACTTTTACTTGCCTGCTTTTTTGCTAGCTTCTTGGCATGTGTATAAAATTTTAAGTGTTAATGTTTGAAGCCTTTAACATTCCAATTGTCCCCTAGTCTCTATTTTTATATTATTTTCCTTTCTGAATAGCTCTCATGTCTGTCTTCATAGCATTCCCAATCAGAATGAAACAAATGATGTTGGTCATGATTCTATTTTGCTGCAATTTGGCAAAGATATGAACAGCGGGAAAGGCGCCAGAGATGTGTATCTGAAGACTCAAATGCAGTCCTGCCTTGGTTCCTCTTTGGAAGGTTTTTTGTTTTTTTTAAACCTAGTTACAGAAATTGAAGGATTTAGGCCCTCTACTGGTAAATGGAGTTTTGAAGCCGTGCTGTACCAAACATCTAGCACCCTATGTAACTTCTTGTTCTTTCCGATAGAAGAAAACTGTTTTTTGCTTTAGGTGTAAAGTTAATAGTGCCTATATTTTGGCTGTGGCAGCTCCAGACCATTAGGACTGTCCTGTTTTATGTCAAAAGACATGCCTCAGATTATTTTAAAGAATATTCCATGAGATCATCTCAGTTCAGTTCAGTTAAATATCTTTATTGATTTCTGAGCTGCCTAAAATGACTTGACACAAAGAAACCATAAAACTAAACATTAATAAATAAGGTTATATTGCCACATATAGCTTCCTGTTCACATATTTCAATAGGAACAATCCCAGGAGTCTCCTCCTCACAATCCATATAGCAACAGTCAACTAAACCTATGGGTGGCAAAACTACATCACCTAATTTCAAACCAGACCTTAACTATAAATCAAATGACATTCGTTTTCCTTTGAAAGGAAGAGATTAGTTTTTAACATTTGCAAATACCACTATTTCACTGTCGCATAAGAAGTGCATAATAGTTTAGTATCTGTTCCTGGCTCTGCAAATGACTTGTTGGGTGATCCCAGGCAAGTCATTTAACTTTACTACTGCCCAGTTTTCCCATCTGTAAAATGAGTATAATACTGATCTGTTTACAACACACCTGTGAGAAAAGTCATTTAAAATTATTTATCAACAATAATTAATAATTCTCTAAGACCCAGTATTTAAAGGTGTATAAAAAGACTCCAGAAAAAATATTCAAGTTGCTATAGCATAACAAAGCTGTTACTTATTTTATTGGAAGAAGTTACTACATACAAAGTAATTGTTCTCTTAGAAGTATGACCAACATAAAATAAATAGAGCCAAACCACCTACAGTAACTCCTCACTTAACATTGTAGTTATGTTCCTGAAAAATGTGACGAAGTGAAACGATGTTAAGCAAATCCAATTTCCCCATAAGAATGAATGTAAATGGGGGGGGTTAGGTTCCTCTTCTTCTCCCCCCACCTCTCCCTTTACTCTGCACACCACATCCTTGCTCTTCCCCCCTCCCTTCCCTGCCTCCTGCCCACAGCAATCAGCCAGCTTGCAGCGTTCAGGAGGGAGGGGGGTGGAGCGAGGACACAGCATGCAGTCTTCCTCTACCTCCTGAACACCGCAAGCCAGCTGATTGCTGCAGGCAGGAGGCAGGGGAGGGAGGCACACCACATCCTCGCTCCTCCCCTCTGCCCATGGCAATCAGCTGGCTTGCGACATGGGGCAAGAGGGAGGGGGGAGGAGCAAGGACTTAGCACACAGCCTCCCCCATCTCTCCCCTGCCTCTGCAGTTTGTGGAGTTCAAGAGGCAGGGGCAGGAAGGGGAGCCTGCGGGCCAAGTCCTCGCTCCTCCCCCTCCTGCCTGAACACTGCAAGCCAGCTGATTGCCACAGCAGGAGGCAGGGAGAAGAGGGGGAAGGCGCTGATCTGTGGGGTCTGCCGGCGGGCAGGAGGCACTCTTGGGGGGGGGGGGGGGGGGGGGGCATATGGGAGCTGATGGAGGGCTGCCAGCTGTGGACAAAGCAAGCAGCCAAACGACATTATAGCGAAACATTGCACAACTTTAAATGGAGCATGTTCTGTAATGGAGCAGGGACATAAGATCGAAACAACGTTAAGCAAGTTAAGTGGGGAGTTACTGTACATGGAAAAAAGTCTGCACACTAAGGTCGCGTAAAACTGCTTCCCCACTATCGTCTATCAAATCGAATAGTGAAACAGCAGGAGGCCACCTTGCTAATCATGCACTAGGGCACAGATATTTCAAGTGGCTGACATGGTACTTAAAATAAATATAAGCAATGCAGCCCATTAAGAGGTGTTCCTTTTTCCCCTCCCATTTTATTGCAACCCAGATGATTCTAAAATGATCAGTGTTTTGGTTTCAATAACCTCGTGTCTATTTTACAATTTCTTCCTTGAGAGAAAAGCTCCTGACATCTGCTTTAAATGGGATGTTTTTCTATCTTTGCCTTAGTCAGATAGGCACCAAGTCTCAGAACCTGGGTAACCTCACACAGGCTTTTGGGGCTTGGACTGCTGGGCTATAAAAATGCAATGTAGTGGTTCAGGCCCCAGGCCAGCCATGGGTCTTTTATTACAGTGTAAACATACACTGAGTGTCTTGTCTACAGTGCACAGTGGGCAAGTGTGATTTCTAAAGCACATCAATGTGTTGTACACTAACTAACTGGTCTGCTGTCATGAACGAAAAGTTCCCTATTACACATGAATGTAGTGCTCTTTCAAATAGCATTACGTTAATGCGCACTTGGGAGCCTTTAGAAGTCTCACCCTCATAGTGCATATTGCCATGCTGTGTAAATAAGTAAGAAAATGCTAAGTAAGGGATTAACTAAGAATTATCCAAGAGTGAACACACTTTGAGTCAAAAAAATGGCAGATTAACATTGGGGGAATCCCTAGGTGATAAATCCTCTGTTCACTTTCTCATCTGTTTATTTAGTCTGCCCATTGAGCTACTGATGCTGGAAATATCAGTCTGTCAGAATGAAAAAGGCAAGAAAAGTACTGTTTAGACTACATTACCATTACCACTTCCAGCAGAGACTGAGTATGCTATTTCAACAGGTTCCCAGTTAGGAAGAAGGGGGAGAAGGAGACTAAGAGCCTGAGCCTCAAGTTCTGCTATTTGCTATAGCTCAACTGATTTCAACATTTTACACCAGCTGAGGATCTGGCCCTAGAGCTGGAAAGCTAACTTGGGTTTCCTCCCAGGTACTAAATCCTAGGTCAGCAGGCTAGCTCTCTCTGCATTTTATTTTTCCCTTAATATAAAAAATGACTTGGCAAATTTAATCTATGCTATGGTTAAAGTATTTTTAAAGAGGAAATAAATCTGAGCTCCACAAAACAAGAAAATGTATTTATTTATTGGGAACACAAAAACTGAAGATTAGGGTTTTACTGGTTTGTTTTTTATAAGCACATGTGTTCTGTGACCTTTCTGCCAAGTTCCAGCCCGGAGCAAGGTTTTATGGTTGAGTTATAAATACCTAAAAAACAGGTTTGATCATGGAAAAAATTGACAATATGCATGGGTGCCACTAATTACTGTCATGATAAAACAGTTTGCATTAAATAGTTGTCAAAAATCTTATTGCTTAAACTTACCGTTTACCCTGATTTTTCCATGTAAAAACACATTAAAGTGGTATTAAAAACAGATAAAAGTTTAAAAAGATCACTCACTGTATTTTTCTTAGACATTGTTTGGTTTGTAGTAGAGAGCCAAAGAGGTAACAGATGAGCCTCTGTAGTGAAGATATAATCTTCTATATCAAAAATCATGTCTTCCTTATCAGCAAAGAGCAGGTAAAGGTATTTAAACATCTCAGCCAGGAAGAAAGAGTCCATTCTATGGGGCCAGGGAGGGGGGGGAAGAGAGAGAAGACAGCCTTAAGAACAGTGCTATTTCCTAAAGTGGCAGTAAAACAAATGCTCAGGATACTCAATTTCCAAACAGTTAATGATACTTAGCATTGCAGGTTTGTCATGGTGGGGAACAATGTCAAACAGGGTCATATTCCTGTTTTTCCCGTGACTTCCCCGCAGCTGGAGATCCTGCCCTGGGTGGCTGGGCTCAGCTCCCCACTCTGGGGCACTATAACCTGGCACACACAGTCACAGCGCTGCTCAGGTGCCTTTATGTCATGATGCGGAGAAAGGAGGGAAGCAGGGCAGCCACGCCATATTGGACTGAGCTGAATAGCAGCACTGGGTTGCGCTGAGCCTGAACCTGGGCACAGAGCACTGCCTAAAGAGGGCAGAGGGAGGTACCGTTCAGCCCTCTGTGCCCCCTGAGGCTTCTCTCCTTGGGGGAAGCTCCAGCATCCAAGCTGCATTTCCCCCGATGCTGCATTCCCCCTTCCCAATGATGCTCCACCCTGGGAAGGGGGCTCAGGAAAGTGCCAGCGTCCTCCCCTCCCAACCCACAGTGTCAGGGCTCAGGCAGGGGACGCAGCCTTTACAGGGTGTTCTAAATTTACCGAGACTGCTCTGTGTTTAATAAAAAAGGCTGTGACAAATCTGCAGCCTTAATGATAGTAACTTTTGAGCTTATGAGCCCTGCTTGAGTGCTGCAACTACTGCAGAATTCCAATAGGAGGAAACTGTTTACAGACAGAAATAACAGTTCAAAAAGTTCAATGGAAAAGTGGTGTTACAATAACAATATACTGCTTGAGAATTCCGAAGTCAACATTTTTCAAATGAAATATGCTTCAAATTTAATCTACTTAACCATCATCCAGTTTTATTAAAAAGATATATAAAGAAAATATCAGAATAGGCTGTCTTCACTTTTTTACAGAAGTGTTATGATTTAAGGCTATGAATTTTGAAAGTTTTTAAGGCCAATTAGACTACACATATTCCATTAACATCAAATATGCATAATCTGAGGGTTGTTTATTTAGATGAACACAGAATACACTATCTGCATCTATCCAAAATTCAATTAATCTGAATACACATAAAAATAAGTTAATCAGACTCCTTTTATATTTTCTAAGAAACTTAAAAGTCACTACACTCTTACCTGTCCTCATGACTTCCAGTACGAACATCCTTCATTGCAGCAAATCCACAGGGTACTCTAGCATATTTGTTTAAATTTTCAATGAGCGTTTTTCCTACTTCTAGGTAGTAAGGGTCCCCAGTAGCCTATTTTTAGAAAAGTTGCACAATACTTAGATGTCATGTAAAATGTATAGCTGTTTTTTTAGAACTACTTGCTATGCATTAGTTTCTGGTATGTTGCCTTTTTTATACACCCATGAAATTTAATGTCATTGTTTCAAAAGAGAAGAGCCATATGCAGAAGAGGAAGTTCCTTTCAAATACAGTGCATTACCATTTACACTATATGGATACGCTATACTATGCTGGGACAATCAAAGGAAGACAAGGGAGTTACACTCAGATTTTTAAAGATATTTGAAAATAAGACGTAGGCCTTGCAGTGCTGAGTGCAGCAATGCCTAAATACCTTTAAAAATCTGGGCCTCAGGCACCCAACTGTCACTGAATCTGAAGAGGCTGGGCCCCTTTGTACCTTTGAAAATCTTTGCCTTATAAAACAAAACTCTGAAGACATTTTCTAATAACAAAGAGTGTCTACATGTGGCTTGCATGCCATAAGTATTTAACTCCGACACATGTGAATGAGATGGGATCCAGTTCTACTCTTTCAGCTTTGGGATGCGGCACCAATAAAATCCAAACCTTAGTACCAAGTGTTGAAAAGCCAAAACAATGAAGAAAGTAGCCTTACTTTATACAAGAAATAGGTGCTTTCTGCAAATTCTGGTCTTAAAGGGTGCTGAGCCCAATGAACCCTGAAGTCTGTTGTGAAAGCCTGAGGAAGAAAGAATAGAGATAAATAAATATAGGCATAAAAATATACAGATTGTTTTGAAATCTAAAATAATAATTCACCAACAGGCAGAAGGGTGCAAGTCCTGATCATCAATCTCTACTCCTTTCTCATTTATTTCCATTTCTAATTATAAAAAGCCCCTATCCAAACTTGTTCTAGGATTCCTGTCAACAGTTAGATGATTACTTTTTGAAAAAAAATTGATAGCAAATAATATTCTCTGATGACAGGCCTGATTCTGATCTTACATACACCAGTATAAGGGCATGGCTACACTTGCAGATGTAGAGCGCTGAGAGTTAAACCAGCCCTCGGGGAGCGCAGTAGGAAAGCGCTGCAGTGTGTTCACATAAGTCAGGCAGTGGAGTTACTTCAGAATAAACTAAAGACAGAGTTCAAAATTAGGCCCTATGGGCCCATTTGATTTATTCTGCTCTATTCTGGATTCTAGTAGATGGGATGAAGTCAGACATTCAAAGTTATTCACCTTTCAAGTGTAGAAAAGGTATAGATCCAGAATAGGCAGGTCTGATTATGTTAAAAACAAAATCAAACTACAACTTGTTATCTCTGAATGCTAGAGCAGGCAAACTGCCACCTATGGTATGAATACTACAGCAACTAGTCAGCAACAAAATGAGTACCAGAAAAAACAAGAAAGCCTCTGTCCGCTGAAGACCAAGGACCAAATTTTTAAGTGCCTCTGCAAATGTTCCAGTAATGACTGTACACAGGCAAACAGGCTTTTGTGTGCACAGTTAACTTGTTTTCAGGCTCAAAACAATAGGCTCAACTCAATACGTTTTCAGAGGCTCAGTGAAAATACGGCCCTGAACATGTTACTTCTCCAATGGATTCAGGCTTCACTTGGCCAAGAAACTGAAGGAAACGAAAAGTCAGTGTGATTCAATTGCATAAAGCCATTACATCACCAAGAAGAGAGTTTCATATCAATGTTATGTAAACTTTGTATACTAGTGTGAAGTGATCCAAGGTCAGTTTAAAAAACAAAATGTATTCATCGTCACTTATCTGTTATATAACAATTGTTTCCCTCTATTGGTAGTTACAACATCTCAGGGAAAAATGTTTCATATCCAGAACGACACTCCTGTTGTGCATGTGGATTTGTAGGCTTCAGAAGAATGTTGAAACCAACTTTTTTTTTCTTTAAATTATACATTATGTCTAGTATTACTTGAACTGAGATCACAATCAGTTTACATAACCTCCTGCCTTACCTCAGGAAGAAAGTTATGCTTTTTTATCACCTGATATAACATCTCATGAGTTTCGATAGCAGGTCTAATGTCACCTTTCAATACCTACAAATCAAGAACAATAGCAATAAATACATAAAAGTCAGGCATGATATCTGTACAAGACTACCCAGCAATGTATACATTGCCAGCATACACAATAATACAGGAAATCATGATCCTCTGTTTCAGTGTATAATCTACTTTATTTATGTTTTTCTACTTAGCATGGGATAGGAAACATATGAGTGACTGCAACCCCTGAGAGACCACTATTTCACAGCAATCATAATGGACTTGCAGGAAAGAGGACAGGATCATACTGAGACTGAAATTCTGCTTTAAAAGGGAATTTGCCCAGGTTTGTGACAGATGTTACAAAATTCATCTGTGGCCCAGGACTTGAACGGACCCATTCCCTTCAGTTCAAATTTTGCTACCAGAATTGCTTTTGAAATCTCTAAAGACAGATTCTCAATCAGATATGTAAACCCCTTTGGGAATCCAGAGTGGCTCATATGATTGTAAAGGCCTAGCGGGCAGCAGAATGGACTTCTCATGCAATCATAATACCAGCCTTCTGAATCTGGTTGTAAGTAAATCCTGGAACAAGAGACTATTCTTTTTATTCATCCATACAAAATGTATTCTTACAAAGATTTATTCTAAATAGAGGGAAGAAATACAAACAGGAAACTTATCATGTTTCAGAGATTCAGCAATGAACACTCAGAGAAGGGTGTGAACAAGGTGGGGTTGTTTTGAAAATCAATACTGCCACCAGTTTCAAAATCATTTGATCTGGACAACTATGTAGTAGGTCATGGAGGAAAGACAGGCAAGGGAACTAATGACAAACATCTGTAGCATATAAATGGGGGGGGGGAGGAGGAGATATAATGAAGGGAGCCAATGACAAAGATAAGACAGAAATATCAACAGGAAGCCTTAAGACCCATGAGTAGGGTGGCCAGATATATATTTTAGACTGCTAGAAATGGAAGTTGAGCATCTGATATGCCTTGGAACCTTTTGGGCACCACTTTCAATGCGTGGGTAACAAAATCAGTAAGCTGTGAGCTTGGCAACTAAGAGCTATACCCTAAGAAGAAAAGGGATCTCTATAGTTGACAGTTAAGCGAACGGGGGGTGGAGGGGAAGTACCTTGCTCCACTCTTGCAGGAGTTCCCCCCCCGCCCTTAAAAAATGATTTGCACATGAATTGAAAAACTTCTGCAGAAGACTATTAGAGTTTGAGTCAAGCATTTTACATAGAATCATAGAATATCAGGGTTGGAAGGGACCTCAGGAGGTCATCTAGTCCAACCCCCTGCTCAAAAGCAGGACCAATCCCCAATTAAATCATCCCAGCCAGGGCTTTGTCAAGCCTGACCTTAAAAACTTCTAAGGAAGGAGATTCCATCACCTCCCTAGGCAACGCATTCTAGTGTTTCACCACCCTCCTAGTGAAAAAGTTTTTCCTAATATCCAACCTAAACCTCCCCCACTGCAACTTGAGACCATTACTCCTTGTCCTGTCCTCTTCTACCACTGAGAATAGTCTAGAACCATCCTCTCTGGAACCACCTCTCAGGTAGTTGAAAGCAGCTATCAAATCCCCCCTCATTCTTCTCTTCTGCAGACTAATGATGACTACATGATCATCAGGAGTTAACAGGTGAAAGAAGCAGAGCCAGGTGGATAATGAAAGGGTATGAAAGTTCAGACATTTTCCCCTCTTAACAGCCGTACAAACTTGGAAATAATGTGTCAGCTGCATGATTTAATATAATCAGCAGAGAAACCAAAGGCAAACAAATCCCTCTTCCACATCAGATAACATTTTTATAAGTTAAATTACTGAGCCTAAATGACAACAACTATATTATGTATTTTTCATATCTGTTTTTATGAACAATTATTAGTAAGTCCATTTAATGTAATCTGAGGACTGGGGGTTTTAGAAACCTTACCTGCAAGCCTGGGAAGAACGCAAGCAAAGAGTCCATCCAGGTCCGAGCATTTAGCATTGGTTTGTGAATATGAACATCAAGCAGAAGAGGTGGTTGACTAATGTACCTCATTATGGCATCATAGTGCTAACAAAAACAGAAACATCATAAGCTCACATCTCTTTCAAAAGGGACATGAAAACCCAGTAGTTTGCTATATTTCATTTCAGCAAGTTAATGGTTTCAGGGAACTGCATCCCTACAATTAGTGATACATAAATAAAAACACAGCTCCTAGTTATGCAAATCAGAATGCAAGAACCTGAATAATTATTGCACAGCTATAGAGTAATACACATATACATGTGCACAAATATATTCAGCAACCATTACTATGAACATCCAAGTTTTTTCTCTACTTGGCTACTATACATCATCTGCATTGACTGGCTCCTGTGGCATCGTTTTTAAGCTGGCTAACAGCAATAAAGATTGCTGCAGTTTCTCACTTACTTTGGCTGAAGCAGAGAACTCCAAAAATGCATTTATAAGAAAAACATTGAACGGGACTAACTGCTGTAAAAAGTTTAAAAACCCTTTGGATAACTTGTCTGCTTACCCATTCCAAATCCCTCTTCTCCCCAGAATAGCTGTCTTATTTGTGTTTATATTAAAAACTGTAAGGCCTGCAATGCAAAGACCTCAACCTTCAGTTGGGGAGTTTAGGAGGTAATACTATACCATGGGCTGAACAAATAGGAAGCCCAATTAAATTAGTATAATGGCAGCTATACACATTAACAATATAAATTATTTTTACTGTTGTGACAGACTCTTAACTGAACGGTTCTGACTTTTATATTGCTTGCAAGAACCAAGAAAATTCATTTCATTTGTGCATCACCATTCTGTATTATTTTAGTGAAAAAAGTTAATGATTTTCAGAAAATTTAGCAGCCTTATGAATCTAATAAACCTATGAACAAGGGCACATATATTTTTTCAGGTTATAATCATATAAGCATTGGGCTGGATTAGTGTCTCTGTACTCATGGTTCTCCCTTGGTAGATGAAACCCAGAATTTGATTTTCAGGTTCTAGCTGTTGCTCTGAGAGCAAGAGAAGCTTTCAGGTTACTTTTATGATAAGGGAGGCCTTATATTAATCGGGTTTTCTGTAAAACAGTGTAAAAGTAGCACTGTAGAGCTCCAAAATAAGTCTCAGTAGAGCCCTCCTTGGTTAGAAAGTTATGGCTATACTGATTTTAGAATGGTAGCCATGTTAGTCTGTATCAGCAAAAATAACTAGGAGTCCTTGTGGCACCTTAGAGCCTAACAAATTTATCTGGGCAAAAGCTTTCGTGGGTTAGAACCCACTTCATCAGATGCATGGAGTGAAAATACAGGAGCAGGTATAAATACATGAAAGGATGGGGGTTGCTTTACCAAGTGTGAGGTCAGTCTAACGAGATCAATTAACAGCAGGATACCAAGGGAGGAAAAATAACTTTTGAAGTGGTGAGAGAGTGGCCCATTACAGACAGTTGACAAGAAGGTGTGAGTAACAGTAGGGAGAAATTAGTATTGGGGAAATTAAGTTTAGGTTTTGTAATGACCCAACCACTCCGAGTGTCTATTCAGGGCTAATCTGATGGTATCCAGTTTGCAAATTAATTCCAGTTCTGCAGCTCCACATTGGAGTCTGTTTTTGAAGTTTTTTTGTTGAAGAATTGCTACTTTTAGGTCTGTTATTGTGAGTAACTTAATCAACTTACTGTGTTAAATCTTTCCAGGAAACGGTCATCTCCAAGCAAGACATAGGCTTTTAATAAATATTCATAATACGAGTCTATTCCTGCTCCAACTCCACTATCTAGAAATAGCACAAAGAAAGATACAAAAGTACTGTATTTTTAAATTTAAATAGTTATATGGATAAAAGTTTTCAGCTGCTAATTTTCAATTTGATTTCAATGGCTACTGTCTGAATGAAAGAAAAGGAGCTATTCAGGACAACTGAGAGTGAAAATAAAGGAGCATGTAGATTAATGAAGGGCTGCACTGAGTAGTATGCAGTGTTTTCCTACTTTTTTGAAAATGTGTTCTAGTATATTTGAACATAAAAGAGTATGCTCAGGCGTGCTGTTAAGTCAAGTGTTTAATTTCTTTGTAGGAAAATATTTTTATTGGTCTGAATACACAATTGCACTCCTATTTGTACTTTACTGTGCACTTAAAGTAGATTCTTTGAAAATTTAGCACTAGAAATCTCTCAGCATCCATGGACTTAGGGAATGTTTTCCTTGAAACAAAAACTGATTTCTCAGGCAAAATATTCTTGCAGAGAAAAACCAGGCTTCATTATACCTGGTTTCTTCAGATCTGAAAGTCCACTTGCCTTCCTAATGGTATTTTAAAATCATTTAAACTCCCAAGAGCGGCATGTGATCATGGGTCTTAGAGTCAAAGCCACATACCTTTGCGGACCCAGTCTCCAGTATGTATATTAATAGTAACTCCCACTAAATTACTGTTGCGTTGTCTTTTTTCCCAAAGAAAATCAAGCGCCTTCCGTGCATATTCCTGCAACCAACAAAAAATATTTTAATTGAAGTGTAATTACAGGGCAATGCAGGAGGCAAGAAAAAGCATCAGGTGCTGGTATACAAGCTTTTGGGTTTTTTGTCTACTAAAATAATGGAGCTATAAAGTAGAATATATTAGAGAGAGATTCCTATTTAGACTGAATTTCCTAAAGGTAGAACTATTCAATAATACATTGAATTCTCTTGAAAAGCAGCACTTATTCTATTTAACCAGTCATTTTGTTGCTAATTAAAAGGATTTGCATTCTATCTGTAACTGCCACCCACACACTATATAGTTTTGGGTAAGTCACTTAACTTGTCTGTGCCTCTGTTTCCAACTGACAAAATAGGTATAAAAGACCCTTTTTGTTTATAACCATTAAAAAAAATTCATTAAAAACAAAAACCTTATATAACATTTCAAGACCCTCTAATGAAACGGTGCAACAACTAATTTCTTCTAATCCAATGGGATATAGTCAGATTGCCTTCTAAGTTATATCTGCCCCAGCCACACAGCCATACACATCTTTTCAGATGTTTCTAGGTGGCACAGTAGCTCTATCCAATAGTAGGTTAAGTATGTGTATTAGCCCTCTGTAAATACACAAAGGGAGGCATGAACTGGGGTGACACCTAGCCAAAAAAGGATACAGACAACCAGCCAGGCATGCTAGGTTTTAAGGGTGAGATAATCAAAAGTACTCAGTATTGGCCTAACTGCTCTCATTGACGTTAATGAGAGCAGAGTTAGGCCAACACTGACTGCTTTTTAAAAATCCAACCCCATCTCTCTCAGTGGAGGATTTCTACCTTTAGCATTACAAACTGAAGACAATACAGCTATGTATACAGCACTTTTCATACAGACTACTGTGAATCTGAGTTGGTTGCTCACTTGGCTGAAACAGGGCACTGCTGATTTAGAGTCTCTTGGATGGTGACTCCCTTCTACAAGCAACAGGAGAGAGTGGCAGACAGCAGTGAGTCAGAGGGCTGTTGAAAATATGCAAAAAGTCTCTGATTCTAAAGGCTTTAAACCAAATGCTTAGGCAGTTTATATTAGGTAGTTTGTATTGCAATATGTTACATAAAGGGAATAAATCAGTATTAAAAGGGAGTAGACTATGAATAATTTAAGATGTGTTCAGATACAATAATCTCTACAGAAAGCTAGCAGTGTACTCCAGGAATTAACTCTGAAATATTTGGTTAATCAAATTAAGAATGAAAAATATCTTACAGATGAACCCAGAATAAATCTTGGTTGAGCCCGTTTAATTTGTTTACACGCTACATCAAAGAGAGAATCTGTCTCAGATCTCTAGTCCAGCACTCGGATTTGACAAAGCCCTATCAGTATGTGTCAGATATTTTTGACTTTCCAATGGGAATAGTTACTCTGGCACTTTTGCAAATTCTCACACCTTCAGTGAATAAGTTGCAGTCACCACACTTTTACTGCTGTAAAGTTACAAGCCTTATTTAAAGAAGTTAGAGCCCTTAGTTTTATTATTTCACTTTAATATCTTTTTTGCTTTTTCAATGAAGCAGAACAAGAGAATGCATTTCAAAAACAGTTCCACTATTTCACTTTAATATCTTTTTTGCTTTTTCAATGAAGCAGAACAAGAGAATGCATTTCAAAAACAGTTCCACTCTTAAAAGTGGCAGTGTGAAACTAGCACCTTGTTATTCAACTTAACTGTGTATTCAGAATTGTACCTGCATTTTTACTGCTTTTTACTCTGATTAGCCTTGCACAGCCAGTACAGTTAAGAGAAACTGGATTATATTTCCCCTTATGAAGTAAAAAAAACTGTGTTGCATGGCAATCAATACACCTGTACAAACCCAGTGAGGAGAATGGGGGTTGCACACGTCACTAGGGCATAACTTGGAGACCGCAGATGTCACTGAGGGCCTAATTTGGCCGACAGAATGTTTTTTAGCAATGATTGTATGTAGGAAGGAATGAACCAAGCTCAAGAGTCAGGGCCCTATATAAGTATACTGGGCTGGCAGTCAAAGCACACACCCTTTTTTTTGGGGGGGGGGGGTGGACATACAAACTAAACTTGTTTGCCTTGAAATCAGAAAACATGGAAGTTCACTATGCTATTCTCAGAGTGAATTTTCAGAATAGAAATGCACTTTAAATACCATGTGCCTCAGTTCTCTTCTTCAATGTTAGTCTAACAAATCAGTAGAACCTTTCTAGCCAAGCACCTTGGAGAGAGTCTATTAACGTGACTCTTCAATATATTAAGTTTTATATTGATATTACTACTTGTACTGTAAATCACCTTCTAGAACTTTTTGAATAAAAAGTTTAAAATAGTACTTAAATTAGATATGCCATATTAGTGTAAGTTTTTCTGGAAATGCACCTTATCCTGGTGCACAGTAAAGCTAAAGGATGCAAAATCCATTACCAACCACAAATACAACTAATCTGAAACAAGTTCACTCTTTACCCATGGATTTGAATTAGAATTACAATAATGTAACAGCACGCAGTTCAAAACCTAACCCCAATAAATAAGAGACCATAGAAAGCAAACCTCAAATATTGATGTTCCTGTGAATCGGCTTAGAGCAGCAAACTCAAGTATCAAGGTACCTGCACAAGCCGTACAAGTATCAGTCTCTGTTCCTGTTCGAGCTTCTGGACTTCTTAAACCAAATTTTAAATTAACCTAAAAGAAAGTAAAGATTGTATCTTTTACTAGCAGCAAATATATATATAAAAAGAAAAGGAGTACTTGTGGCACCTTAGAGACTAACCAATTTATTTGAGCATGAGCTTTCGTGAGCTAAGGTGCCACAAGTACTCCTTTTCTTTTTGCGAATACAGACTAACACGGCTGTTACTCTGAAATAAATATATATATATATATATATGTCAGTGATGGGAGAGAGATTGGAACTTAGATACTGTACTTTATCTGTTCTTTATTTATTCTAATTAAAAAACAAAAATCTTAATCTAGTCTCAGCTGATTTTAAACTACAACCGTTCTTTTAACTCTACTGCCATAGAAAGGTATGTTAGGTAAAATTTTCAGAAGTGCTTAAGTCACTTAGAATTAGAGCTGCATGGGAAATGGTTTCTTATCCTATCAAAAAAAAATGTTAAAGATTTCAAAAACATTTCTTGTTCTGCATCAGGTCAAAACAGAGACCTTTTGAAATTACTTGTGAAAAATGAGAGAGAATCCAATATATTCAACAACCCAGTGGTAAGGGCTACTCGCCTAGGATGTGGAACACTCAGATTCAAGTCCCTGCTCTGTCTTATACATTATAATTAACCAATAAGCTAAGAGTGTGCCATGCTTTAGCTTCATGTAATGAGAAGTTACAAATATGAAAAAAAATTCCAAATTATACCCCAACAATAACCTTCGCAGACTGGAGACTTTTTTTATTTTTTATTTTATTTTTTTAAATAGGCAAACTATGAAAGTTTGGGTTCAATGCAGAATTCACCTAAGGTGCATGCTGAACACTCCCAATTAACCAGGCTGTAGAAGGCACATCAGTAAATTTTAAGTAACACTGAAAAGCCATTGTTGTTCCAGATTATTTAGTCATGCCTAGAGGTGCAAGATACTAGTAGACAGTGGTTTCATGAGATTTCTGCCATTTCTAATGAGTCAGAATGATGCATTCTGGGTCACTGTCAGCAAACCTGGAAAAGCAACAAGCTACACAGCCCAAAACAAAATTTAAGAAATTAGCTAGCACTGGTCATGAAATATTAATTGATCTGCATTATTAGGTGTATGGAAAATAAAAGTATCTGTGATAACTGTTTACACCCACAACTGACACTAATAAAAACGGGTTTATAAAAAAGTTTAAATGATTTCTGTGACAAATGCCTTCACAGCCTAGTTAGCAAGGACATTCTGCCTGTATTTAACTCACAAATGAACTATTTTCTGATCCTACATACAAAGAAAATTAATGCATAATCTGTCACAAATAAGGTTCTCTCCCTCTCTATTAAATAACTTCCTGAAATATTAACAAAGTTTTGCCTATTGTGTGGAGTGATCTGGATTATAAAACACTTACTCTTGGATAAGGGAGACCACTAGTCGTGTTAAAAGCAGGTAAAAGTTTGTAGCCCAATTGTTTTGCCATGTGCAGAAGTTCACCACTGTACCACTGCATGTATTCACCTTTTTCTTTCAGCATAATTGCCACAGAGTGCCCACCTAAAAGACCTCTAAACACAAGAAAAGATATCCACATGTATTTCAAGTCAGTAAGTCACAGTAATGCAGTAATTTCTATCATTTGTGACAAACACTGTATAAACAATTGTGATGTGTGTTTCAGAAGTGCTGCGCACATACAATTCCAACTGAAATCAATGGAAGCTGTGGTGCACCTCTAGGGGGCAAAAAAAAAAATCAAGCACTTAATGACTACGGTGAATTTTTTTCTCCCCCGTAGGTAACATACTTAGAGTGATGAGCAGATTAACAATAAATTGTCCCCTATAGCATTTTACTGAATATATATAAAACACACTGAAGTAGTAGATTACTGAAGAGAACTAAATGATTAATCCTGCACATGGATGGAGTAGAGGTCATTATCTTAAAGGTTATCATGAGCCAAATGAAGTGATGATGTTTATATAAGCCCTGAGTAATCAAATATTGATCATCATTTTACTACATTTTCAGAAAGTTGTCACACAGAAGTTAAGATATCTGAATTCTGAGAGGCATACTTGTTTAATATCTATAAACAAGGTAATTTGAAGGAACCTGTCAGCATCTTAAGAGTTTTTTTAAAAAAACACAAACAGATGTGTTGTCTGTGTTTTTCATTCTCAAGAGTGATTATCACATTTCAGAATTATCCCTTAGCCACAGACCTAATATACTGCACACTCCTTATTGACTCAAAACATAAATAACTAGCACCCATGAGATTGTACAAATCAAATTTTATAAACTAGAGAAATTTGACAGTGTATATCGAATGTTTGATAACATAATCTTAGCTTTGAGGCCATGTCTATGTTAGGAAAATGAGCTTTGACACACAGGTTGTTAGCCACTGCTATCCTAGCACTTTTTTCAATCGGTATTGAAAATAGCTCTCCTGCTGGTGTGGACAGCCAACTGAATTTGACATCTATTATATCAGTTTCTTCCTACAACAGAAGTTGAATTCTGTTGATCCAGTGGAACCACCATTCTCAACATCAGCTGAGGTACAAGTAAATGTTTGACAAAACATAAGCTTGAGATCACATCTTAAGTGCATTGAAAATGAAGAAAGCTAGTTACTTACCCAAGGACTCTTATGTTAGTTTCAAAAACTGATACAACTATGTCATTATCTAAATTAACATCTTTTATCACATTTTTTACAGCATCTTCAAACTCTTTGGTTTTATTTAACACCTAGAAAACAAAAATAACTTTAGTCATTTTAGGTTCTGATGCTGTAACACTGATTTACTTCAGAAAGCGCGAGTGCAGTCAGACATTCAAGTACGATATAAAGTTCAACGTGTTAAACTTGAACCAGGAAATAGTCAAGATAGCTCAAATTGCTTTTCTGCCTGACCATATCATATTCTGATACATTATGTGAATAGGTATCAGTATTAGTCTGGTTTGCTATAGTGATGTACATGAATGAAAAAGTAGTTTTCAACAGGGAATAATTCACTGAAAATGTATGATGATTACCCATGTTAGTTCCTTTCTTTCACTATAGTGCATTGTAATCAATGTTTTCCGCCACCTGTACCCACATATTCTATTCCTTGAAATCTGGAACTGAACTCCACAGTTCAAGCTCATCCCTGCTATAAGGTCTGAAAATAGGGCTGTCAAGCAATTTAAAAAATTAATCGTGATTACTCATGCAATTTAAAAAATTAATAGTTTTTAATTGTGTGATTAATTGCACTGTTAAACAATAATATAATGCCATTTATTTAAATATTTTTGGATGTTTTCTAGATTTTCAAATATATTGATTTCAATTACAACACAGAATACAAAGTGTACAGTGCTCATTTTATTTTTGATTACAAGTATTTGCACTGTAAATAAATAAATATTTTTTCAATTCACCTAGTACAAGTACTGTACATTTTGCAAAGAAACATAAGAACAGCCATACTGGGTCAGAGCAAAGGTCTTTTTTCCTGCAGAACTGGCGCTGCAGAGCTGCTGGTGGCCACTAGGGGCCACTGGACCCCGCAGAGCCCAGCTTGCAAATAGAAGACACTGCTGAAGGGAGGGGTTGGAGATGGAGAGTTCCCCACAGCTGCCGTTCCTGGCATGCCTGAAGGAAGGAGGTGGTGTGCAGGAAACTCCATATAAGCCTGGGATGCAGCAACGGGCTGTTTCTCCCTCTGGATCCCTGGGCTTTACATGGCTGGCCTCTAAGGTGGGGCGGGGGTACAGGGCTCTGAGCCAGGGGGGCTCTCCCGCGGCTGGGTTCTGTGAAGAGGGAGCGCAGATGTCTGGGCCAGGGAGGCCCCTGCGGCTGGGCTCTGGTTGCAGGTGTCTGGAGAGGCGGGCATGGGTGTCTAGGCCAAGAGGCAGCTGGGCTCTGCGGGAGAGGGGGTGCAGATGTGTGGGCTGGGGGCACGCCACAGCTGGGTTCTGGGGGGGAAAGGGTGCAGGTGTCTGGGTGGGGGACCTGTGGCTGGGCTCTGTGCGGGCAGGGGGAAGGGCAGAGAAGCAGGAACTGGGTTTTTTTTTTTTTTTTTTTTTTACTCGTGAGGGAATCTCTTTTGTGGTCTGTATTGTTACAGCCAGAGTTGCTAAAAGGTATTTTGAAATTAATTACCAAAATAATTGAAACTGGCATGATTATATTGTGTTATTTTGACAAATAAAATAATCAGAATTTTGCAGAATCGTGTGTAGAATTGTTAATTTTTTGGCGCAGAATTTCCCCAAGAGTAAAAGCCTCAGAAGTCAACAGATTAACTTGGGCCTGGTCTACACTAGAAATTTAGCTCAGTATAACTACGTCACTCAGAAGTGTGAAATATCCAGTTAAACTGACCTAACCTTCTGTGTAAACAGCACCTCGCAGGGAGGCGGAGTACCTATACCAGGAGTGGGCAAACTATTGCCCAGGGGCCTCATCCAGCCTTCGAGACGTTTTAATCTGGCCCTCTAACTCAGGCCAGGGAATGGGATCCGGGGCTTGCCCTGCTCCGCGCAACTCCTGGAAGCAGCGGTATGTCTCTCCTCCAGCTTCTATGCATAGGGGCAGCCAGTGGGCTCCACACACTGCCCTCACCCCAAGCAACGGGGCAGCGTGCACCTCCTGGCTGCGCCTCCGCATAGGAGCAGGAGAAAAGACATGCTACTGGTTCTGGGAACTGCTTTAAAGTAAGCGCCACCTGGAGCCTGCACTCCTGACCCCCTCGCGCGTCCCAACCCCTTGCCCTAGCCTCCTCCTGCCCTCCGAACCCCTCAGTCCCAGCCTGAAGCACCCTCCAGCACCCCCAACCCCACACAACAGCCCACACCCCCTCCCGCATCCCAATCCCCAATTTTGTGAGCATTCATGCCCTGCTATACATTTTCCATACCAAGATGTGGCCCTCGGGCCAAAAATTTTGCCCACCGCGTCCTACACTGATAGTAGAACCCTTTCCGTTGGTGCAAGTAGTGTCCACAGTGAAAGGCTACAGCAGTGCAGCTGTGCTGCTGCAGCATTTTAAGTGTAGAAAAGCCCTTACATTAGCAGGGGAAGCAAATGTATATTACTGTTATAAGTTTAAAAAAAAAAAAAACTAACAGCAACACAATGGGCATTCATTTAGATGAACTACAAGGCCAAGGTACTGTTTTAGTATTAAAAAAATAATAATAATTCCAAACAACATCACTGTCTATTATATCCATTGTTTACAGGTCTTTACAACAGAATGTACCTGTCTTTTTGATGGAATAAGAGACTTAACTCAGTTTCCTTACTTAACACTTCACATTTATCTCAAAAAAACAGAATTCTAACCTGGAAATCTGACTAGAGGTAGATAAACAGTTATTCAACAGTGAAACATTGCAAAACAGATCAAACCTACCACAAGAGTGTCCAAGGTATCAATCAGTGTCAATGAAAACCTATGAAATAAAATTTAAACCAGATATATAATTAAAATTCGGTACGTTTTTGGTAGATATTGTGTTATGTTATTTTTAACCCAAAAATCTTAGAAATAATGTGACATAATCATCACAGATTGCCAGCTGATTAAAAATATGCTAGTTTTAAATGAGGGATATTTAACAGGAAGGTGTAAATACTGACAACAATTAAACCTATTCTTCTTTGAATAGACATTTGCAACTCCTACTAACTGGAGTTGGAGCTACAGAATAGTTTACACTTATGATGGTTGGAGTCATTTTGACTTCTTGTTTTTAGTTACCTTTGAAAATTCTGTCATTTAAAACGTGGCTTATTAAACTAGCACAGTGGCCAATAGTCTATTGCTCTGAAGAGCTGATAATGAACCCAGCCACACCCATTTCAGCCACTGAATTTACTGGTGGCCTTAAGTGTGCACCCATGTATTGATGATTTCTCTAAGAAAAAAACTGTACTATGCAAAATTATTCTAAACTCTTATCCCATTTGATGAGGTCAATTCCTTTTTTCTTGATAAAGGTAACTACATATTAGTTCACCTCATTGGACTAGAGGAAAAAGTGGCTATAGAAATTACTAAACTATGTTTTGGTCCCACCACCTCTCTCATTTATAATATGACAATTCTGCAGTTTTGTGCATCTCGAACAGGGGTGGGCAAACTTTTTGGCCCGACAGCCACATCTGGGTGGGAAAACTGCATGCAGGGCCATTAACATAGGGCTGGGGCAGGGGGATGGGATGCGGGAGGGAGTGTGGTATGCAGGAAGGGGTTCAGGGCAAGGGGTTGGGGTGCAGGAAGGGTGCAGGGGACTCAGGGCAGGGGTTTGGGGTGCAGGCTCCGATCCGGTGCCGCTTACCTTGAGTGGCTCCGGGGTGGCAGTGGCGCGCAGCGTGGCTAAGGCAGGCTCCCTGAATACCCTGGCACTGCACCGCTCCCGGAAGCGGCAGGCACCACGTCCCTGCAGCCCCTGGGGGAGGGGGAAGAGGGCTCGGCGCACTGCCCTTGCCTGCGGGTACCTCCCCCGAAGCTCCCATTGGCCGTGGTTCCCCGTTCCCAGCCAAAGGGAGCTGCGAGGGGTAGTGCCTACAGGCGAGGGCAGCACACGTAGCCCTCTGCCTCCCCCCTTCCCCAGGGACGTGGCTCCGGCTGCTTCAGGGAGCTTACCTTAACCCTGCTGCACCATGGGGCTGGCAATCCCGCAGGCCAGATCCAAAGCCCTGACGGGCCGGATCCAGCCCAAGGGCTGTAGTTTGCCCACCCCGATCTAGAAAACCAAACAAGGGTTCTGAGTGCACATCAACTGAAGTATTAGCAGCAAAATGTGTTAAGATTTGCATGTTCATATAAGATAGTCACTGCTTCAAATACTAACTTTCCCAAGGCATCGTCCACATCCCCACGACTAGGTTCCTGACCCCGAACCCGTCCACGGCAAGTTAAAGGCATGAGTTCATCAGCTGGGTAGGCATGATCCTGTCAGAACAAAACCAGAAGGTAAAGAGAGTAGAGTACATCACTGCAACCTATTGAAAGGAAGCAGAATTGTAGTAAACTTATGAAAATCTATGTATCACCTATGTGGCTAAACTCAAACTCAAAATAACACAGCAACAGCTTCCTCTTCATAGTCAATGGCTGACAACCGTTAGACCACATAAAACATACTGGAAGCCAGGCCATACAGTGCAATGCCCCATCTCCCTTACCCCAGAGAAACAATTGTTTTGGAGTACTTAATGGCATCTCTGAAATAATTGCTCAATTTGAACACTTGAGGTTCATCTTGTGTTTCCTGCAACAAATGCACAGGAGATTGCATATCTGCAGTGGAGAACTGAGTAGTCTTTTTCCTCCATTAAAGAACTGATCTCTCATCCAACATTAGTGCAAAAACAGTCTGGGTGGAAGACTTGCTCATTTTACGAAAATGTGAAAATTAGCTCCATTTTACAGAAAGGAGACAAGGAAGTTCAAAGGTTAGGGATAACATTTTAAAAAGCACTTAAGTGACTTCGGACCTAAGCCTCACTGAAAAAAAAATTGAAGAGATAGAGGCTCCTAAGCCACTTTTGAAAACTGGACTTAGATGCTTTGAAAATTTTACCCTCCATGATTTGTCCAAGGTCACAGAATCAGTGAAAATGAGAAAAGAACTCAGTCAGAACATAAACAATAAAATACAACCAAATGACTATGCAACACAAAGGAAAACATGACAAGTTTGGAGTAGTTTTTGAAAATGATGGCCATTTCAGGGGTGGGGAGAGGGATTACTTTCCATTGCTCTAGCAAAACAGTTTTACTCTAACACTACTTAGCACCCTTCAATCAGTCAGAAACATCAACAATGTCAGTATAGGCCAAATCAGGTGTGCTGAATAAAAGGGGGAGAGGAATAGCTCAGTGGTTTGAGCATTGGCCTGCTAAACCCAGGGTTGTGAGTTCAATCCTTGAGGGGGCCATTTAGGGATCTGGGGCAAAAACTTGTGGATTGGTCCTGCTTTAAGCAGGGGGTTGGACTAGATGACCTCTTGAGGTCCCTTCCAACCCTGATATTCTATGAAATACCTGTTTATGGTTCCACTGAAATCAATGCAAATTTTGTAGCTGACTTCAGTGAGAACAGAATCAAGCCTTAGGGCCCTAGTTCAGAGTTTTGGTAACTGCCAAATAAAAAGTACTAAAATCGGACAGTCAGAAACTGACATAAGAGTGAGACGAGACTGGTGAAATATTTTGGTGTAAGACTTGATTTTTAAGTTTTTTTTTTAAAATAGCTTTTCAAAACTCTATTTGCTCCTGGCTTTTTTGACAAGCACATAAAGTGCTAGTTTTTTAGCATAAGAACGGCCATACTGGGTCAGACCAAAGGTCCATCCAGCCCAGTATCCTGTCTACCAACAGTGGCCAATGCCAGGTGCCCCATAGGGAGTGAACCTAACAGGTAATGATCAAGTGATCTCTCTCCTGCCATCCATCTCCACCCTCTGACAAACAGAGGCTAGGGACACCATTCCTTACCCATCCTGGCTAACAGCCATTAATGGACTTAACCTCCATGAATTTATCCAGTTCTCTTCTAAACCCTGTTATAGTCCTAGCCTTCACAACCTCCTCAGGCAAGGAGTTCCACAGGTTGACTGTGCGCTAAGTGAAGAAGAACTTCCTTTCATTTGTTTTAAACCTGCTACCCATTAATTTCATTTGGTGGCCCCTAGTTCTTATATTATGGGAACAAGTAAATAACTTTTCCTTATTCACTTTCTCCACACCACTCATGATTTTATATACCTCTATCATATCCTCCCTTAGTCTCCTCTTTTCCAAGCTGAAAAGTCCTAGTCTCTAATCTCTCCTCATATGGGACCCTTTCCAAACCCCTAATCATTTTAGTTGCCCTTTTCTGAATCTTTTCTAATGCCAGTATATCATTTTTGAGATGAGGGGACCACATCTGTACGCAGTAGTCAAGATGTGGGTGCACCATGGATTTATATAAGGGCAATAAGATATTCTCCGTCTTATTCTCTATCCCTTTTTTAATGATCCCTAACATCCGATTTGCTTTTTTGACTGCCGCTGCACACTGCGGGGACGTCTTCAGAGAACTATCCACGATGACTCCAAGATCTTTCTCCTGATTAATTGTAGCTAAATTAGCCCCCATCATATTGTATATATAGTTGGGGTTATTTTTTCCAATGTGTATTACTTTACATTTATCCACATTAAATTTCATTTGCCATTTTGTTGCCCAATCACTTAGTTTTGGGAGATCTTTTTGAAGCTCTTCACAGTCTGCTTTGGTCTTAACTAACTTGAGCAGTTTAGTATCATCTGCAAACTTTGCCATCTCACTGTTTACCCCTTTCTCCAGGTCATTTATGAATAAGTTGAATAGGACTGGTCCGAGGACTGACCCTTGGGAACACCAATGGAGTTACCCCTCTCCATTCTGAAAATTAACCATTTATTCCTATCCTTTGTTCCCTGTTTTTTAACCAGTTCTCAATCCATGAAGGGATCTTCCCTCTTATCCCATGACAACTTAATTTACCTTTGGTGAGGGACCCTGTCAAAGGCTTTCTGGAAATCTAAGTACACTATGTCTACTGGATCCCAGTTGTCCACATGTTTGTTGACCCCTTCAAAGAACTCTAATAGATTAGTAAGACATGATCTCCCTTTACAGAAACCATTTTGACTTTTGAGCAACAATTTATGTTCTTCTGTGTGTCTGACAATTTTATTCTTTACTATTCTTTTTTCTTAGTTATCAATATAGGAATGGGCAGGCAAGTAAGTTTTGTACTTGGGCTAGTAAATGCAAAGCTTTTCACCAAACAGTTTTATTTTTAAACCACTACCAGAATGACACATATAAAGAAATAAAAACATACATAAAAATTCTTATTTTAATTATGAACAATGACCCAGGTTTTTTGGCAAGTTATGATAATCACCAATAGAATTAGTAAAATAAAGCTGTATAAAGTCCAAAAAAAATACTTAAAATAAATGTTGTGCAAGGTGTTGACTTCCTATAAGACGTGTAGTATGAGGGAACAATTAGTGATTGAACATGTCTACCTCAGTTCCACAGGTTGCTGTATTATACTATCTTTTAATTTTAATTTTAAAGTAGAAATTAATGAGCAGCATAATAAAAGCAAAATTGCAGCAAATGAATATGTGAAGTGGAACACATTCAATATCGTTTATGAGTATATGCTGTGACAGATTAGTGTGACTGGTTATCCAGACACATGGGGTAGGGAAGAAAAAGTATGGGTTGTTTTTCAATTGATGGCCTATTGTTCTTTGAAGACTCTGGTCCTATCACCGCCTTCTATTCTTCCTGAGTTCAGCTACCAGAGCCAGGGTATAGCTCTCATTTTGAATATCGTACACCTTACAATTATCCTGAAAAACTGATTAATGAACTGTGAAGTAGAAGGAAATTCAAAATTAAGAGCTCAATAGCTAAAATTGTGGAGAAAGCCAATAATCAGGTAATTCTGATAAAGCTACCTTCAAGACAGACAGAAAAGGGAACATTACTCAGTAAAATAAAAGTAAACAGTCTACATCCTGAAGAGCAGGAAACACTCTGAAAAATGAGGGAATACAGGTTAGTTATCTAGATCTATCTGGAGATGGGTTAAGGCTATGGGGCCAAATGCCCCTTCCAATTCAGTTGAGATCAGTGGATAAAGAGGAGATGTATCAAGGGCAAAATTAGGCACACAAACTACATAGTTTAAACATCTGTATGTCTTAAATTTATAAAAGCATGTATTGATTGACAAATAGGGCTGTTTGGTCTATGTCAGGATTGTAAATTAAGAACAGCATTGATACATTCCACTTACGAACAATGCACAGCGCTGCCAGTGCTGTATGATTAGGACTACTGACCCAAGGGACTAACACAACTGGCTTTTCAGGTATCCTTTGTGTAAGTGTGAAGAAATGCTCCTAGCTATTAGACTTGTCTGTGAGGGAATAAAAAGCTACTCTCTGCCCTCCCAATTGACATATGAAAAAGTATAAAAGATATCCCCCTGCACGCAAACGTGAAATGTGAGCCTAATCCACTCAAGTCCAAAAACATTAATAGAAATAGTAAGTCAACAATTTTCAGCTCCCTGTCTCAAAAATTGCTGTTTTTTTTTTAAAAAAAAAAACACACTTAATTTTCTTGCTATCAAGGTCAAGGTTGAAACTCCAGTCTTTACTTCAAGTTAAACAAACACAGAATGAGACTTGTTTGTTTAATGCTCTAGCATACGTGGCAAGTAAATATCCTTTTGACATTTATGCTTCCAGGATGTCTGAAGTCATACTTCCTCTTAACCCAACATTTTCTTGCCACAAATGTAGAGAAGGTATTTATTAGCTTCAAATTTATAGTAATGAAAAGTAAAGCACAAATATCTCAGCTGACTGAAGAGTTTTGTCCAACGTTAGGCAAGGTAGGTTACCTAATTAAAAGCAATAAAGAGAAAGCAAGGCAGATTGAAAGCCAGACATTTTTATGTAGCGAGGTTTCAAGTATCTAACTAGAAATTAATTGCAGAAAGAAAAGGAGGACTTGTGGCACCTTAGAAAATAACAAATTTATTTGAGCATAAGCTTTCCGATGAAGTGAGCTGTAGCTCATGAAAGCTTATGCTCAAATAAATTTGTTAGTCTCTAAGGTGCCACAAGTACGCCTTTTCTTTTTGCAAATACTGACGAACACGGCTGCTACTCTGAAAAATTATTTCTATCCAAAGAAGTCAGTTGCTAGTCACACTATTAGGCAATATAGAGAAGAGTCAGAATGTCAACCAAAAACAACTACTTGAAGTTTTGTTTTATTTTTCAAAAATCAAACAACAATTCTGTACCACTTCATAGCCTGCATACCTGAACATGTTTAATAAAAAACAGTCCTCACAATAGCTTCTCTTCTGTGCTTTAATACCTTTGGCATTTATAAATGGCAAAGAATCTCATTCACTGTATACATTATCTATTTACATGTCTCATTAACTTTTAACCTCTTTGGAAGTTAAAGGGTTATAGCATAATATTGAGCCATGCAGTCAACATACTCTCCAGGGACAGTGGTTTTCCATGTGTGAGCAGGTGCAACTTATGAAAGAAAGGTCTGTGTTATAATAAGAACACTTATATGCCCAGTAGAGAAAATACAAAGATGAAAACAATTAAAATGTTTTTGTTAAAAAAATACACACTTTACTAGACTAAGGTATCATAAGAATAATTGGTATTTCAGGCCATGTCTACACAACCGATTTTGTCAGTATAACTTATGTCATTCAGGGGTGTGGAAAAAACCTTAGATTGCCTTAGATTTTCAGATGTACAGTTAACGGGTCACCTGTTTCCCCTAAAATGTTTCCCATTTCAGTGTATTGATAATATTATATTCTTCTTATCAATAACTGTATTTTAAATGTAGAGATTCTACTGTTGAAATAAAAACAATTATTTATTCTGGAACAAGACCAAACTAATAAATTAGGGTATAACAAGACCCACTAAACAACAAATCAGTCTCATGTCCAACATGTGAAGACAACTAAAAGACCTAAAATTGTTTTGACAACACTAAATTACAACACACATATATCATGTAAACAGTAGCAAATGTGGATCACTTAATTACATTACAATTGCTTATTTAGCACCAAGTTATGCAATGTGGGTCTGATGCTACAGGGTTTTTTTTTTTATTTTATTTTTTTTAAGTGAAATGGAACTTTTGAGAGCAAAGCAGCTGCAAAATCTACAGCAAATGTAACATCCCAAGCAAATATGAGGTTATATAATTAATGTTAGGCCCACAAAGTATAATCAAAGTGATCTGCAGGAACATATAAACATTTTTATATAATATTCACCAGCACAACCAATACATTATTAACAATTAATGTGTTCACTAGAATTTGATAACTACAGACAGGTATCTTTTCAAGTGTTCTTGGTCTGTATGGTATTTTGCAACATTTTTGTTCTGGGGTCTCATGCTACCAAATAAGTCAAGGGAACACTGATATAGTAGGAAATGTATAAGAGGAGACAACATACATTAAGAATAGCAAGCAGGTTTATATGGTAAGGTCCTGACTCTGCAGTGAGAGAGATGCAGGTTTACCTGTAGAGAGCCCCATTACCTTTTAGCTTTATAGGCCACCTGTAAGGATCCAACTGGGAAATCAGATATCAAGACTATATTGCAACATCTGCTTCCCTTTAAAATATTTTAAATTCTGTAATTTAGCACTTTTCATTGTCAATTACCTTTACAAACACAAATTCTTAGAGACTACTGCATTTCAGATCTAGGGGGGAAAAAATCAAGCATAGGTTAAGTATCCTGTCAGGAATTCCTAGCCACTGTTCCTGTGATCAGACATTACTCTCCCCCTATATTCATATTTCTTATATGCAAACAGACATTTCAAAAGAAAATAATATAAGCTGCACATACGAACTTCAACTTCAGTTTTCCCCCAACAGAGTTTCAGCAAGTTTTTTAAAACTGCCAGGTCGATAACAAAACTGCTGACAAATGCAACACAAACTTTAATTTGTGTGTAAGCATAATGAAGAAATTGGTATTTTACTTACCATGTAATTGCTATAAGCATGATCAAACATTTCTAACACTTGATTCCTAAGAAAAGGAACAGGAAAAAATTTGTTGAATACATGATCAGTTTCATATTTCCTCTTCTAAGTGTCAAACTTTAACACAACAGAAGTACTGTAGTTTAATATCTGGAGATTAATATCAGATGCCCATAAAAATACATAACATTCACTTCATCTCTGGAACTTTGCCCAAATAAAGCTGATGAGTGAAACAACCAGTGGCAAGATATTTATGATCTGTTTGGACCTCATGAAAGAAAGGGGAATGAAACACCATCTAAAGCTAGTCCAAAAGTAGCAGGTGGTGTACAAACTGATCCCCAACAGGCCAGTCCTGTAACACTACTGCTATTCCAATACTGGGGCTTCTTCTGAATAAAACTTGTTCATGTCCCTAAATTTATTGTGCAATTATTTGTTTCTGGGAGCATTCCACTTGCAAAGAGAAAAGAACTTCCAATCATAAAATCCAATTTTCCAGTGCAGTATATTTTCATTTTTTAAATCACAATTATTATACTGAAAAGACCAAATAGGCTACTAGATACTTTGCTAGACACTAAAAATCATGGTCTTAGGCTATGTCTACAATATGCAGCTTTTAGCGACATGGCTATGCCGCTACAGCCGCGCTGCTAAAAGGCACGCAATGTAGCTGCTGTTTGTCAGCAGAAGAGAGTTCTCTTGCCAACAAAGCGTTGTTCACACCAGAGCTTTTTCTTGGTAAAACTTTTGACGTTCAGGGGAATTTTTTTTTAACACCCCCAATGACAAAAGTTTTGCTGACTAAGTGCCAGTGTAGACATACCCCCAGTATAGACAAAGCCATAATAAAGACAATGGATTTATGGCTTATCACAACAATTCGTAAGCCACTAACCCCCCTTTTTGTCCTATGATTACAGAGGTGTAAACAGGCCACTTCATCTTGAATGGTCCCTTAGAATATGTGCTAACTACTTATGATAAACAGGTTTCAGAGGAACAGCCGTGTTAGTCTGTATTCGCAAAAAGAAAAGGAGTACTTGTGGCACCTTAGAGACTAACCAATTTATCTGAGCATGAGCTTTCGTGAGCTACAGCTCACTTCATCAGATGTATACCGTGGAAACTGCAGCAGACTTTATATACACACAGAGAATATGAAACAATACCTCCTCCCACCCCACTGTCCTGCTGGTAATAGCTTATCTAAAGTGATCAACAGGTGGGCCACCTCCAGCACATTGTGGTGGCCCACATTGTGCTGGAGGTGGCCCACCTGTTGATCACTTTAGATAAGCTATTACCAGCAGGACAGTGGGGTGGGAGGAGGTATTGTTTCATATTCTCTGTGTGTATATAAAGTCTGCTGCAGTTTCCACGGTATACATCTGATGAAGTGAGCTGTAGCTCACGAAAGCTCATGCTCAGATAAATTGGTTAGTCTCTAAGGTGCCACAAGTACTCCTTTTCTTTTTACTTATGATAAACAATCTGTTTGGTCTTGCATTTAGCTGTGACATCCTGAGTTTCTTTCACAGACCTGAAGAAGAGCTGTGTTGCTGGAAACCCTTGACTCTCTCACCAACAGAAGCACCCACCTTGTCTATCTAAGAACCAGCCAGGAGGCACACTCCTCACTCAGAAAAACCCCAGGACATAGTTCTGTGTTCCTTCTGCAACAGTTGGTATCATCAACACCCAAAGCTATTTTACAATTTAGTGGAATCATAAGTTACCAGGTTCCATATTTTCCCTGAATTACAATCTTGGTAAGTAAAGAAAAAATGGTTTCAATATTATTTATGAATGTATGTATTTGTGATGTCTAAATAGTGGTCACGATCAGAAATGTCACTATATCCAATGGCACTCACTCTCTCGATAGCTGCTTCCTGTCTTAGCAAAGACTATTGTACTAACAAAAGATAGCATTACTAATAGTAAGGAAAAACCTAATACACAGCAAGTTGGATTCTATTCTGACTTGGGCATCAACAATGTTCACAAAACATCTATTACTGTTGCGGCTGATGTAAGAGGCAAGAAGAACTCAGCTAGATTTTCAAACACCCAACTGAGTTTACTGCCCTGGCAGTTAAAAAAATAACGTTAACTCATCTAAAAATTTTATTATGAAAGTAGAGAAAAAAATAAACATGAACCCCAATGGTGCCTTTTTCAGTCATTTCACCAATCATAACTATTTGATGGCCTCAATTCTGCAATTTAGCTGTGCAGGTGAAATCCTAGGCCCACAGAGAGCCCCATCCACTTCAATGTGACGGTGTGGTCTACCCAAGCAGATCCTGATGCAGGATCAGAGTCTAAGCCTATAAACATTGTCCAATAATGATTTAGCACATTAAAAGGTTATAACTTTTTTTTCCCTCCTTCAAATGAACTGTATTCCCAGACCATTATCCAACGGGATCTCTGTGGAAGGTACGTTCTTACCATATAAATATATATATTACCTCCTACTAGCATAGGTGCTCCAACCCAGACCCCTCAGTAAATAAGCACCTCTGAAAGTAAGGTGGCTTCTTTCCACCTCTGCAGCATTGCAAAAGCTGAACAAATACCTGAAGCAGTCCACATTTCTGCCTGTACTGGTAGATCCTAGATCACTAATACACCTATATCAGATGGCACACAGAGAACATAAGTTAAACAAAGCACCTAAAAATGTAAACAGGCCAGGAAAGGAGCCTAAACCACTTGGGTAGCCGTGTGAGGAACACATAGCTAAGGTATTTTTCAAGTCTTTGTGATGTATTCAAAGTGCTTCGACATCTTTGAATGAAAGAGCTAATGAGTGCACATATTATAATTAAATACTGCTTTTTATCTAATGACCAAATGACAGTATAATGAAACTTCTTAATGAAGCCTCACAACACCCTTGTGAAATATTACTATCTTCATTTTACAGAGGATGACAGTAAGCATGAAGGAGGTAATGAAATTGTCAAGGTGACACAGTGAGTGTGTGGCAATAATGATCAGAATGAAGAGGAGTACTTGTGGCACCTCAGAGACTAACCAATTTATTTGAGCATAAGCTTATGCTCAAATAAACTGGTTAGTCTCTAAGGTGCCACAAGTACTCCTCTTCTTTTTGCGAATACAGACTAACACGGCTGTTACTCTGACATGATCAGAATGCAGAACTGCCTTCTAAAACATCCTACTCCATGTACTAGCACACATACCTCATCACTGATGTTGTACTCTTTATCCTTTACATATAAGAATAGTTTTTTAAATAATTAGCTTTATACACACATGCAAATTGGGCTCCCTAAACAATTTACTTTATTGCTCACAGTGACTGGGCAGGGATGATCTCAACTCTTATTAATATGAAAGATGCTATCTCTTATCACGCTAAAACCTTGACTTGTTCCAGAAACACTGTCATAATTAGACCACAATGCCAAACACCTACTGAGTATGGTTTTGACCTTTGACCACTTGTACCCATAATCATATACAATGCCTGACTGAAATCTTCATGACCACACAGAGACTAGGGGTGTCAACCACGAGAGCGGGAAGATGACCCGATAGGCAGGTAGATGTGACGGGGGGAGAAGGGGATCGTACCAAAAATTCAGGGGAGTACAAGGTCATTAAAGTACATCTCTGAGGGGCTAGGCACTACTCTCACGCAGACTGGGAACGTCACACAGGTCGCCGGCTGTCGGTGCTGGGGATCAGCCCCACAGGGCTGAGATCCATCCGTGGGGGGAGTGGGGTTCAGCCACACCCCAGTGGGACCCGGGGGAATCGCCAGGCCCCATGGGGGAGTGCTCTCCCCGCTCAGAGGGGAGCAGCCACAGGGGTCCGCACACCTTCCACGGGGCCAGAGGCTGAGCCCCTGCCGACGGAGCTGACAGTGTGGGGGCTGTCGCCAGGCAGCCACAGTGGCCAGCCCCCCGGGAAAAGGGATGCCAGAGGGGGCTGTGGCCACTTCCAGCCGCCCCACGCGGCAGTGACGACTGGAGCCGGTCCAGGTAAGCGCTTGCCAGCTGCGCAGAACCCACCCTCCTTCAGGCCCCCGCCGCGTCTCCCAGCTTACCCGAGCCGGCGCTTTTCCTCCCTGCTCATGGCTCCAGCGCCCGGGGCGGCTGCCAGCACCGAGGAAGCGGAGAGAAGGCCCAGGGCCAACAGCTTCCATCTCCCCCAGCGGGCTGCGGGGTCCCCGCTCCCCCCCTCACCACCGGCAGCTCCGCTCATGGCAGCAGCTGCCCGCCGCCCCGCTAGGCCCGGCTCAGCCCCATGCTTGCCGCTCGCCCCTCTCCCTGGCGGCGGCGGCGGCTGCCGCTGCCACTCTCAGCGCCGCCGACGTGAAAACGGAAAGGACCGGACCTTCGCTTTCCTGTGGCGTAGCCAAGGAAACAATCGCCTTCCGCGGCTTCCGGGTTCAGCCCATCACGTGGCGCCGCTGTGAACCAATCGGAGTCGAAGGGGTCGGGGGTCCGTTTGTGCCACGTGATTCCGGTGAAAGACTTTAGTGGAGTGAGACGTGGACAAAAGAAGAAGTCGGCCCCTGGCTCGGGAGATGGCGCGCGGGGACTGCAAGTTCCAGCATGCAACACTCCACCCCGAGCTGGTCGCTGAACTCTGGAGGGAGCACTGCCTTCTGGGAGCTGTAGTCTAGATGGGTCTGAGCCGCCTGGCTCCTCTAGGAGCACTGCGTATTGGGACCAGTAGTTTGTGAGTTGCCCTGAAAGGGCGTTATGTAAAGGACCTTACTTATAGACAATGAGGGTGGCTGCAGTCCTACTAGCCCATTCAGTGGCCTGGGACCTCTTCTTCCTGGCTCTAGAGCCCCACTCATCCTGCGGCCTGGAACAAGTCACTGTGGGGCAAATGTCTTGTTTCTCAGCATTCACCCCACACGGGAGCACTTACTGCCTAAGGAAAGGGGGTTTCCCAACTCTCACAATTTTGGCAGTAGTCTCATGCTATTTGGCTTTTTTCTAAAAGCCCCAGGTGCTGGACTCATGTGGTTATGTGAGAACCAGAGCTTTAATTTTAAACAGAAAAGTTTACAGCATTCACCACCACACGCTTGAAACCAGCATCTGCGTGTAGCTCCAAAGGCTCAGAAATTAAAAGGCAACTAAAGACTTCCCCCCACCCCACTTGCCCCAAACAAATAAATATATTATTTTTGAGGCCTGACTTTTTTAACCTTGAGACTGGCCCTATTGGGAGATGATTTTGCCATGAATAAAACAGTGAAGAGTGTCTTATACAGTTGTCCTATATTTGCTTGAAGTCTGTGTGGACACTGTGCCCAGCATTAGCACTGAATAGGACCGTGAGCAAATCACGTCATTGCTCTGTGCTTCAGATTCTAGGGTGACCACCTTTGATAAATGGAAATAAGGGAAAATCACATGAAAAATATGGGACAATGCTTTATTTTAAGAGATGGTTTAGGGAAACTTCTTTTCTCCCTTAGCATGTCATGTATTTCTCTCTCAAGTGTACATTTCTACTGCCCTGAAGTATACAATGGAATCATAAACTTCAATTTAATGTTTAAAATGATACCTTATGATTCGTTTTGATACATTTTAAATCAATTTATAAAACTCTTTACATGTACAATTGATATTAACTTAATTTGAAGTGTGGCCTTAAAAAAAATGTAGTAGGTTTCTGCAATCCAAGTCTGTTTACACAAGGAAACTATTCTGTCCACTGCTTCATTTGAGGTAGGACTGAACATATAAATTCCACCAGTTTTAAGAAATTGGAAGGAAGAGGAGCTGGATACCATTGTTGCCGGCACCCAGTGCCGAGAGGCTAAACAACAGCTGGGGTTGGTTCGCTACCCGGTGTGCTACACCCAGTCATCACAACGGGGTGGAGAAGCAGAAAAGTTTATTTGCAGCTGCAAAAAGGTACAGGGAGAATAGAATCTCAAATCCTGCACACAGAGCAGGAAGTTACACAGGCTTTTATACATCCTTTTTCCCAGCATACTTATCCAATAGCAAGCTGCCCTCAGTATCCCTATAGCCAGCCAATCCAGTTCCCAACTAGTTCCCTTGTTCTCTGTATCATTTGTTAAACCATACATAAAGCTGCTTTATTCAGCATTGTTCTTCCATATCTGCCTTGTTTGGCCTTGCTTAGTTTCAGGCAGTCTGACTCTGCAACATATTGTTGCAGATTCTCAGCAAAAGTGCTGTGAGTGCCTCCAGGTGGGGGGGCCAAGGACACTTGGGCCTCGTACGCATAACTGCTGCGAGTGCCTCCAGGCAAGGGGGGGGGCCCAAGGACACCTGGGCCTAGTGTGAGGGGGCTTCATCAACACTCGTGGTCTTCCATCCCCTCGAGTTACCTAGTGGCCATGCCCCAGTGTCCCCAACACCATGTTTCAAAGCTCTACCTCTTCACTGTACCTTCATTGTAATAAAGCTTACTGGTACCCATATATGGCAAGCATTTTCTGTTTACTTAGCCACTGAACCTTTACCTTTCCAGAAATTTTCTAAATTCTTCCTAGCATTTCTTTACTTGTGTTACAAGTGCATATAAAAATAGTTTTTAAAAGTGCAAAAACAGAGGCCTGGTTGGAAAAATGTCTGAATATCTAATATGTTTAACAGGCAGAGTCTCAAATAAGAAACCACATCCTTGATTTTCATTTTAAATGTGCAATTCAGTGCAGTCTTAAAACACAAAAGGAGAAGCTTTTGTTAAAAGGACTGGGTTTCTTCAGGTTGATTTCTAGATTAAACCTTGTTTTAACAGTTACATTCTTTAAGTACGGCTCTGCAAAGCCTTCCCTTACTCATACGACAAGTCAATGAAATAAGAGATGGTCCTTTGAAATAAGGGACATATGGTCATCCTAAGCCATTCAGACTTTTGTGACAACAGAGAGAAAACCCAGATGCTCCCACTACCAAAGCATAGGCCACTGCCACAGCAGCGAAGGGCAGGGGTTGATGTAAGGAGAAGCTAGAGGCAAAGACATCTCCCATCTCTCCAGCTTGGTGAAGTAGTGCTCCTTCCACCATCTTGGTTGGTGTTAAGAACTGTTGCAGTCTACATTAACCACTAGCTGAAGAGGAATCTCTTTTTGGTGTTAACAGTATAGGGTCCATGACACCAAATTAAGCACTTCTGATTGTATCCAGTAGAGGAATGGAGCCAACAAACACTAGCCAGCTAGTGTTCTACAGTAATCTACAGCACTGTTATAATTGTAATGTTACGTCAGTTAGATGCATTATAGCGCTGGAGGGCCATAGCTGCCTCTTTTCTTTTGACTGAGAGTTGATTTTGACAAGGGTATTTCTCACCTTGCAGGCTATATTAAAATAAACCTAGAAATCTCTTTTGAGGGGGGAAGAAGGTGATGAACAGAACAGCATCACAATACTATAATGCCGAGAACCTGCCCCAGAGGACAATACCAAAAATTGCAGCCTTATGATTCCTGGCAAATTACAGTACAGCCCTCAATTGGGCAAAGTCTGAAAGAAAGTATAGCTGATTTACTTGGGCTACTTTCATTGCTCAGGCATTTGGCGAGCATTGTATATACACACGTTTACTATAAATTTTTTGCTCTGTGGGTAGGGTCAACTCTGCCATACCAGGGGAACAGGAGGTGGCCATGGGTGGCAAGCTGTTGAGTTTTTTGTGGCATTACACATTAAATCTGTGGGGCATGAGGTAAGTATGGCTGCTTTAACAAAGTTACATTGAAGAACAGTATCAAGTCAAAGAAGAGTTTAGTTTTTCCTTTACATTTCAACTGATGTTGGATTTGCCAGCCAGGAGAGACAGAGAAAGGTGATAGCACAAGTGAACATCTGGTCAGTTCATCTTGAAATAGTGCAGAAATCACATCTTTAAAATAAAAATTAGAAACCCTAAGAAGGCAATGTGTGCAATTATTACACTTGCTTAGAATGCGAAAAGGAAGTGCTCCATAAAACATTTAAACATACTCCATTTAAATAAATTCTGACTATGTTGCACATTCTGTATGGCTGTATTGTAGTGACATGCATGAGTGGAAGATTATCTTCTTTAGGAACTCTTCTGGTTTTGTTGCTTTTTACATCCTTCCTATACAAATGTTGGAGCACAGGGCAGAAACCAGTCTCTTCCATTCCTTTCTGTCACTGGGAGGAGGGATAGCTCAGTGGTTTGAGCACTGGCCTGCTAAACCCAGGCTTGTGAGTTCAATCCCTGAGGGGGCCATTTAGGGATCTGGGGTAAAAACTGGGGATTGGTTGCTGCTTTGAGCAGGGGGTTGGACTAGTGACCTCCCAATGTCTCTTCCAACCCTCATATTCTATGATTTACTGCTGCTTCCATTTTGCTCTATTGACTCTTCTGCCCTCCCTCCTCTTTTCTTATGGGTGTCCTCATTTCCTCACACTAGTTGGTTTCCACTTTACAAGTTCATGTGGGAGTCTGTGTGATGGCATCAGGAGTACCAGTGCTGCTTATTCCCTACCCAGATTCCCACTCCCTCCACGTTGGTGACATCCTGGCTTGTCTATTATTTGTATTACTGTAGCACCTGGAAGCTCTTGTCATAGATCAGGACCCTATTGTATTAGGCACTGTACAAACACAAAACTATGGAAGTACTTATAATGTCACCTGATTTGTGACTTTAAATGAAAAGCTCCTGATACTTCAAATGTCCCAAATAGCAAAAAATAGGGGAAGGAATTGAAAATATGACTTATAGTCTGAATTGCTTCTAACTAAAATGTTTTAATTTAAAAAAAATTGTAAACAAAAATATTTTTCTATGGGACATTAGCTTTTTGCATTTAACAGTGGATTTAAAAATAACCATTTGAATGGTTGTAAACAGCCTGGAGAAGAAAGGCTGTCTCCCAGCACTGATATTGGTCCCAGCTTTTCTGCTGTAATTTAAACTGTAAAGCCACAGTGCTACAATGGACATTTTTCTCTCTTATGCCCACCAGTGTCCAGAGTTCATGTTACATGGACTCACAGCCTGGGTTTATGACAAGTGGAAGTGAATTCAGAATTTCAGCACTTTAAGAAACTATTTTTTAAGCCTAACAGTTAACAGACAATACCTCTTCTAGAGACAGCATCACATATCACCACCCAGGAGCATCAGAGTTCAGATCTACAGCTGGCGATAATCTGAGATTGTTCTCCAGTGATCCCTCTGATAAAAATATGGACCAGCATGAATGAGAGCTGAAGTAAACTGCATCTGGTATTTCTCACAAGTATCAAATTCACTTAAAAACCCCACCTCTGACATCCAGCAATGAAAGGGATGACCATATTTTATTTAGTTTAAGCACTTTACAAAGTTACAAGCAAGTTATAATGTGTTTCTTGTTTTGTCTACTCAAGCTGGTAGCCAAGTGAAATATAACAACAACAACAACACTTAATACATATATATCTCTTTTCCTCTTCAATGCACTTTAGAACTCTTAACCAATTAATTCTTACACCCCCCCCAACTTAAGAGGTAAAGGAATTAGTCTTATTATCCATACTTTGAGAAAATTCAATCGGGATAATGTTGCTGGAAATGCTAAGAAAATTGAAAAAAATATTATGATTCATCAATAAACTATTTCTATTGATCAAAGGTCCAAAGCAACCTTCCAATGATGGAAGTACCAGGAGACAGATCCTTGATACCATAGTCTGCTTTGTGCTGCTCCATTCAGAATTAAGCAAATACATTTAATGTCTCAAGACTATGTTGAGGTGGGGTATGCAACTGTTTATCCTTACTCTTAGTATACATAGGAAACCAAGAAAAATGTAAATAAAAACACAGAACAAACTACTGATATGAATAACTTGAATTCAAAACTGTAGAACAAAAGATAATATATGAGAGGAGTCTCAGTTCTTCCCTACTCTTACAAAAAAAACCCAACCACACTAAACATTTGTAGTCAACACTGAATTACCAAATATGTACAGAGAAGTATTGCCCCAAATCTAAACCTGTAATGTGAATGATTAAATATTACTTTGGAGGAGAACATTTATGTTAAATTCTCTTTTGTTCTGTACATATAGAAAGTACATCAAAAGACTTTCATTTCTAAATAGCTTTAGTTGTAAAATGAGGTCCTGTATGTAGGAGATAATTGTTACTATCCTGCTATTCTTCTATCACACAGAAATCCATACTGGAAATATGTCCTTCCACCAAAGAAATGGTTACAAGAGACATGCACTGGTTAATTGCCAAACACAGTTGAAATCACTCCTTAATGTTCAGTACCAATTTAAAAAAATCAGGAATGACCCATAAGACAGTTAGTTGGCAATTGTTTGTTGAGATTTAGTATGAACATTTCTGCATCAAATAAATATTCATGACAGTCCCACAAAAAAAATCTTGTATTTGACTTTATTCCTATAATTATGATGTATGAATACACCTTGTAGTAGCATTTATTTCACAACAGAAACCTTCCACTTGATCAAGTTAACCAATATCATGGCATTTCCAAACAGATGTTTGTCTGTTCAGATAGTGTCACTTCCCTGTTAGTACTGTATAACAGTTTGACTGTCTCATGCTATGGACCTTACAAAATTTCCTACAGTTAAACGCCAACAAGACTGAGGTTATGCTGTCAGTTCTTTATTATCTCTTGAAAAGGACATTACTTTCCAGTATTATTCTTTATGGGTCCAATTCTGCAACTCTTACTCACATTAAATTGTACTTATTCCCTGGGCCAAACTTTTAAGGTATCTCAAACCCACCTCTAAAATTGCAGATACAATTTTAATGCTCAACTTACTAAAACTCCATTTTTCACTTCTAAGATTCTCTGTGGCCAAAAACTCCAATCTGTGTATGCAAATTACACATCAATGCAGCTTATATGTGGACCACAATTTGGTATGGTGGTATTAATCTTGGACATGAAAAAGCATTGCTGATTTTTGAAGCTGCTTTTGAAAATATCACCAGTTTGTCTGCCAAAACCTAAGCACAACTGGCTATTCCTTAACTACTTTCCCTTCCATTGCATCAAGAAATTGGAGAGTAAATGGTATGATTATGGTATATGGGACATTTTATACTTCATTCTGATTTCCTATGCTTTTGAGATTTAGTGACACAGCCTTATGCATGTGGCAGGACTGCAGTACAGAACTTTGGATTGTGGGTGACTGTACTGTATACTGGGGAGTGCAGAAGGTAGGTGCTGCATAATGGTGATAGCTGGTTTTATTGTAAATATTCTCATTAGATCCAAAAAAAAGAAAAGAAAGAAAATAGCTCTAAAGTGCTCTGAAAGGCTGTGTAACCCAGAAGTGCAGAGTGGGATTGAGAAACCTGCTCCCAGTGTTTTCCCAGTTTTAAATATAGAAAAAAAAATCAGAACATTTCATTGTCTTAATCTCTGTCAAAACTTTAAAATACTTAAGTAATCAGTCAGCTTGCAAACTTCAAAGTTTACGTGCAATTTGGCTGCTGAACAACCTAACTATTTGTTTCCTGTTTAACTACTTGAGAGATTTAAATGTTTTCCTTCTAACACACTGAATGCATATCCTAAATGAATTTATTTAATAACATTTTGATTGACTAACTTTAGCTAAGACCTGTTGTAATATTTCCAATCCCAATCATTCAAAAAACATGAGTCAGGCCCCCGCCAAAAAAACATAGGGTCGTCTTAAAATTTGTGAGATTTTTAAAAAAAAAAAAAAAAATTTTCTTTGGTTCTTTTTATTTGCCTTGAGGTGTTCAAGCATTTGGGGGGGGAGGTCATGCTTTCAAGCTTTTTTCCACATTAAGGCCAGAAATTTACTACTATTTTTTTTTTTTAAATGAAAGCTGAGATTCTCAGGTAATAACCTGATTCCAGCAACTGGGCCTGTAACAAAACCCTCTAAGTACTGGAAAACTTGTGATAAAACTGCAAGAGTTGACAACACTGCAATTAGGCCCATTCCTGCAGCCTTTGCTCATTAAGTCAGGAATATTCACAAGAGGACTGCTGGAGTGAGTAATGGCTGCAGGATTAGGCTGTATATTTGTGAAGAACACTTTTTACTCTTCAAAGTGTTGCTCTGCACAACTCTCCTCAATGTTTTCTTGTGTGACAGTTTCACTTCCTACTGAGCTTCTGATTTCAGCACTTAAAGAAGGTGCACCTGCTGGCTGAAACTCATCACTTGCAGTAACAGTAAAGCTTTCAGATTTAATATCCACTGTAACCTCTGCCGTGCTAAGCTCATCTTCCTCTAGCACTAGTGAAACCTCAAAATCATCAGCTGTTTCTATTCTTAAGTTTTCAATACTCAAAATGGGTACTTGTGTTGCATCAGGACTTTCAGCAGAACACCCAGGAAAGCTCTCAGCCTCTGTTTCCATTGGGACAGCATGAATGTGACCTTCACCTGCTTCCTCCAGATCAGATCTTCTGTCTCCAACTATGCTTTTGGTGTGTGCCTCTGGTTGCGATTTGTCATGAAGACCTTTGCAGCTTTCCAGACCAGAATACCAGACACTTTGGTTGGTCTCCATTTCTGCCTTTGACTCTTGAGACACATCCAGTTTTTCAGAGACCTCCAAACATTCTGCTTGAGTCACATGGTTGCCTGCCTCTGAAATGATCATTAAATTCATATCACCTGTACCCAAACTGGATGGAGGTGGCTGCTCCACCTTGAGCTCAGACTGTTCTAATTCTTTATTCACTATCTGGTCTGTTTGACCGGTTTCTGCATTAGTTTTGCTGTTTTCATCACTCTCTTCCCCATGTTCTTGCCACTTCAAAATTTCACATTCATTTACCCCTTCCGTTTTGTTCTCAGATGGAGCAACTGCTGGTAATTCAACTGTCACCATCAGCAAGCTTCTGATCTCATTCAGAGTATTAGGGACTGTAAGACATCTCTCCTCTTCTTGTACCTTATTTTCTTTTTGAGTGTTCCCTCCAAACTCTGCCTCCACCGCATTTTCATTCTGGGAAGTTATCATTTCCTCCACATCCTTTTCTTCCTTAGGAGTAAAAGGATGAGACTCCAGTTTGTCAGTGATGTTTGTAATGATCACCTTTTCACTATTAATTGCAGGACTGCTAGACACATTGACATAAACTGCTTCTTCATTGTCTGATGCCTTTCTAGCATCATACCACTTCTCCTGGGTCATTTTTTCTGACACAACAAGCAGTTCATTACTTTGAGTTTCAGTATCTGATGTTTCTGTTGAAGTGGTGGACGGTTTCTTATCAGGACTGGCTTGTGCTGATCCTGAAGGGGTCTTCAAGTCAGTTAAACTGGACACACTTTCATAAGGCAAGTTTACGTTGTCCTCAAAAAGGTTGTGTTTCTTCAGAATGGCAGCTTCTTTTATTACTAAGTAGACAAAAACATCAAACGGATCTGAACAAACTGACATTTTAAGAACACTCAAAATAAAAATACTCCTTTACTGTTTCTAATATCATGGATTATTAGCAAGACTTAATTTTAATTATCTGTGGTTTTTTTCATTTCACTCAGCTTGGACAATGGAACGTTAATAATAAGTTACACTTCCCATTTCTCATGCACTAACAGACTGCTACTGTGTTTGGGTTCACAACACTGTAGGTTTAAATCTAGAACTAAAGAAGTATTTTAATTGAATATCATAAACATTTCTATTCATTTTTTAAAATTGCAAAACCTAAATTTTGGGCCAGAAGTCCAACCAGAAAACCATTTAGAACTTGTGGAATACAGCAACTTCCCTATCATCACCTATACATATTGATTATAGAGAACTTTTTCATTCTCCAATGCCCACACAGATAGATCTTTGGAGACTGCTCTTCTTAGTATTGGTGACCCATTGGCAATTATATTTTGGCAACATATTTCCTTCTGAGAAATTCAGTCTGAATGTCATTAGATGTAATCAATTATTTGAAAGTTCAGGGCTTTGAGAGTGGCTTTGCTTCTTGGACCAGTGGAACCAAGGTATACTGGAGGTGACATGATTTGCGTTAGAAAGAGGCTTGAACCACACTATGGATCTGAATATTCCAAGTTTTGGGGAAGTTCAGATGTGAATCCAAACTTCATGGCTTGCCCCATCTCTTTAGTGGGGTGAATCAAAACTCTTAGACTCTTAACACTTCCGACCTCTGAGAAAATTGGGACCTGGATCTGAATAAGGGAGCTCTGATCTATCACTAGCTCTGAAATAAGACCTCACAGACCCACATTCTAAACATTATTACTATCATCTCAGAAGCATGCCTACCTTTTAGGGTTTCATCAAGCAATGTCTGAAATAAAATCTCTTCATAGACATTCTCTACTTGTATCACTCTGGTGTAATCAGCAAAGATGTACTGTTCATATTTCTGCAACTCCTGTGCAGAGACACAAAGAAGGAATAAAAGTATAAAAATGTGGCTATCTGGGGTCCAAGGGTTCAATCAGCCCAGAAAAGAACCCTGCCAGCTCCCATGTAAGAGATCTTGTCATGACGACAGCTCTCCAGGTCTAAACGAGCTGCATATGTTCAGTATTTTTCACATTTACCAGTACTTTTTATATTGCATCACCTTAAGCTCTCTAAATAAATAATTCTTATATTCTAAATAATGCAGGCAGGTGAGGAAGTGACTGAGTTTATGCCTGTCCTCTGAGGCAAATTCATCCTCATCAGGGTGCTGGGATACTCCAGCATTTGTTACTGGGGCATAGCACCCTTAGCTCAGTGGTTCATATACAGCCCAGCTAGGTAGCAACTGAGTCATTACTAAGATTAAGATTTTTTCACGGTTATTTTTAGTAAAAGTTATGGACAGGTCACGGGCAAACAAACAAAAAAAAATTCAGAGGCCTGTGACCTGTCCCTGACTTTTACTAAAAATAACTGTGACAAAATGGGGCGGAGCCCCAGCCCTGCTACAGAAAGGGAGAGGGTACAGCACCTGCCTCAGTGGCTGGGAGTTTTGGGGTCCCCTGGCATCAGAAATAGCTGGGAACCTATGGCAGCTCGGAACTCTGGGGCCCCCACGGCTGCTGGCAGCTGCGGGGTCACCCAATGCCCACGGCAGCTCAAAGCTCCAGGGCCCCCACCAGCTGTGACAGCTCCAGCATTAAACAGAGATCACCTCTTAGGATCAAGTAGGCATATGCCACACAGACATCTGGTGATTGCCAGAGTACAGGACAGGGTAGGCTTTCATAGCCTTGTGTTGTCTTCTGTATTTTTAGTAATGTAGTCAATAAAGTATATAACCAGTTCAGTAGGGACCTATTAGCAGTGTAATTGGCACGGTTCTGTGGAATGGGGCTCACAAGGCATCTGTTGTGTGACGCAGAGCTGTATTCTGTTGTGACTCTAACTGCAGTAGAGCGAATGAGGTGATGGTGCTTGACATAGCCAGTGGTATTGCTAGCTACATGGATTCATGTGCCACCTGTCTCCCCCCCGCGTTAGTATCCCAGAAACTACTGTAACTCATTGTAAACTACAACCTCTTTAAAAATATCTCGGCCTGTATATCGCACTTTCTTCCCTAGACTTTATCATTCAGGCACTTACTTATAAACAAAAGCTGTGTTGATTATGATCTTGTTGGTTCCTGCTGATTCCCACCTGAAGTTAGAGGGCCAAATTCATACCCGTTGAGTACACCCAACTGCAACAAAGTTGCTCCCTCACACAGCTGCACTGCGTTTTCCTCTAAATGTTGTTTTTTGTGAAACCATATTCTTTGTCAAAGCAACCAGCTGTGATGTTACAGGTAGTCAATGGGGGGAAACGGAGCATGCACACTGCTCCTCCAGTGTCCTACTGCAAGGAACAGACTTTCAACTCAGTGGTCTCCCAGAGGTGTTGTAGAACCTGAAGCTGGAACTACAGGCTCAGAACTTAGAACCTTAGCTGTCAGCCAGAGAGAGAAGATCGATTTGATGGGGTCTAACATCTGCCCTGACCTTGTAATCAGATTTTTCTGGGGGAGCATCTCCCCCAGAGACTGCCCCACCATTAAACCTCCAACAAGTTAGCAATGTCTCCCTGCCAAAAAACAAAAATTAAAAAAAAAAAAAACCACAAAGATTCTGGTCCCTTCCTATCTCTCCATAAACTGCTGGAGCAGCATGAGGGTTATTGCAGCCCTAGGGCTGGAATAATTCCCATTTACCCCCACTGCATAGAAGAGATGTGATCAAGATTTGCATAAGGCTGCCAAAAGATTTTAGAAGGGAATTTATTTGAATTCTCTCCCCACCCCAAATGAGATCCACATCCTTTATCCTTTCGCCATCACTGATGCCCCAAACGGACCACCCTCAGGATCATTTTGGCCCTGTGACCAGCCACTTTACATGACCACCTGTAGCTAATTTGCATTAGGTGGCTTAGGATATAGCCAGTGTGTTAATTCCACCTTCCCTTTCTTTTTTTCCAGCATGCAGCCAGAAAGTTACCTACTGGTTTGCAAGCTGAAGCCAGTGTCTTCTGCATTGTGGGCAATGTGATCTGTACCAATGCTTCCTGAAATATTTTCTTCCGTATAGTACTGCTGTCATAGTCATATTGCTGTCAAAACAGACAAAAGAAAAAAACCACAGAACAATTAAACATTCATACAAGTAGTTTGTTCCCGTTGGCCTGTTCCTGCTGATGGGCAACCCAAAGAATATGAATTGCTGTCTTTAAATCAAGGTTTGAGGACTTCAGTAATTCTGTCAGAAGTTATGGGCCTATTAAAGAATTGGGTGGGTGAGGGTCTGTGGCCTGCAATGTGCAGGAGGTCAGACTAGATGATCATGATGGTCCCTTCTGGCCTTAAAGTCTGAGAATTCCAATGAGCGCTCACTGTGAGAACTGCCTTCCTCATGGTATTTCAGCACTTCCACTTCTGGGATCAGTTAGAATTTTGGGGGCAGATCCTCTAAATTGTCATAACTATACTGAAGTCAATGGATCTATGAAAATTTACACCAGTTGAGGATCTGTCCCTAAAAGTGCAGTGTTGCATGCAGATGAAGTGTTAAAAAAAAAATTTTTTTTAATGTTAGCCAAATTATTTTGAACCTCAAAAAATGTTAAGGTTTGGTCCAAATTTTATCCATATGGTTTGTCCATAGCTACTTGAATACCATGAGACTAGAGAAGGGCATGGTCCAATGATTTGAGTATAGGAGTAAGAAAAAACCGTGTTATTATCTGAAGTCATTAGACCATATAGGGAGGACCTAATGCTCCACTGCATTGCACCTGGAGTAATCATTTGCATTTTTTGCAAAATGCTACTAAATTAGCATTCTCCACTCACTTAAACCAGAGGTAACATTTTACACTCATTTTGCACAGGGATAGATAAGGTGCAAGGCAGTTAAGAATCTGGCCAATTATTCCAGTGAGTGAAAACAAGTGGATGCATTGAAATATTTCCCATAAGATGGTATGAAACACATTTCTTCTCATTATTAAATAAATGTATGTAAAAAATGCCTTCAATTTATTACAAAACACCACCTAAGCAGATCCCCTAGTTTTCTGGTACACTTAAGAGTCAGATAATTTTTACCTTTAGTACTCGTAGTTTGACTTTTTCAATGGCAGTTGAAATTTTCACTGTATCTCCTTGGCTGCTCAGACTCAGAAGTTGTTCAAAAGTATACACTGCATTTTCCATAAGCTAGAAATAAAGACAAATGTGATAAAGACAAAGGATTAAAATCGCCATACTTATTGTCGGGCCCACTCCTGATGAAGTTCATAGCAAAATTCCCATGACTTCAAACTGAGCAATATCAGGTGCAGTTTATACCCCTACTATTTTTAGATAGACTTCTGAACTACAACATGTCACTAGTTACAAGTTCTTCGAGACACAAATAGACATTGTAAACTTAGTAGTTTGTTAAAGTGTGCTTGTGAGGTGGAGGTGGGGGCGGGGGGAGGAAAAGAAAGTATAAACCCTAAAAATCAATAGAAATGTTTTCAGGACTTCTTAAAACAAGATTCAAAATGTCAGTGGAAAAAAGGAGTCTGGATTTGAACACTCTTTGGGGACTGGAAAAAAAGAACACAACTTACTATTTCCATTTCTAATTCATGTCTAAGGACAGGTCTACACTAGAAAAGGATTGCCAGAAGAACTATACCGGTACAGCTATTCTGGGAAGCCCTCCTAGTGCCAACTTATATATAATGAAAATTAAAGTAGATTCAGAATTCTCTGTTCTCACACCATCCAGTGACACATTAAATAATTACCCTAGTTTGGAGAAACTTCATTAGCAACAATTTTGCAGGTGGAAATTTGTACTTTATGTTTTCACCTTCATTCTGAAGGGAAAACAGCCCGGGGCTCCATATGTCCTCTGCTTGACATGGGAATTTTCAAATCAGTATATAGATATCCAGGTAATACTCTAGGAATTTTCCCGTTGCAAAAGATATGGCCTTGTATGCAGTGCCCTTACCCAGGTTTTTTTGTCTGTTTGTTTGTTTTTTAAATGGCTAAACATAGGTTGTGTCAAGTTTTGAAGTGTAGTTTTTAGAATTAGGTTTGCTCCAGACTCAGATTAGAACGTGCAAGTTGCATTTGCACATGTAAATTAAGTATCCACATGTCTACTCAATGTATGTATACAAGTGCATGAACATTCAAACTTCATGCATGCAAAAATCTTGCACATTAAAACTGCAGGTATAGTTTTAGAGACCAGCTGGAAAGCTTAGCCACTCATGTTTTCTATGCATTTGCAGATCTTGGGCCAGGTACTCAGCTGACTTCAACGGAGCTACATTGATTTATATCATCTGAGCACGTGGCCCCTAGTTTTCATAAGTTAGCCAGAAGATGACGACTAACCCAGCAGGCTTTAAATACTACTTTTTCGGCAACTTTGAAGAGTAGGGACCTGATGCTCCAGTGCCTGGCACTTTGTGTAGGTCATTTACATCAGTACAAAGTCAGTGGGAATTAAGCCAGAGGTTTCTTTTAAATTAAAACAATGTTAATGAAAACATATTGGCCTAGCGGCTTATTAATAAAAATAAATATTATATGCCCATGAACACAAAGTGAAACTCTTTTCTACTTCTCATGAGAAAAATAATGGCCATTTTAAGAGAGAACAGCAATATAAATGAGCTTGTTGGAACAACTTGTACTCTCCCTTTTAAGCAACTTATGGAAAACCTTGAAAAACGTTCTCTTCTATCTCTCTTCTTTTTCCTGTTTCATTATGAATGTCCTCCTTTAACAGGTGTTTTGCCTGAGCAGGAATTCAGGGTGGTCCCTACTCAAAACATGGGAGTGAAAACAGAATTTTGTTTCTCAAAAATTCCTTGGCTGCTGATCATTCCTGATTTTAGGTTTTCCTAAAGACAGCTATGGTATCTAAGAGCTATCATAATCTTCTGTAACATCACAGCTGGTTGCTTTGACAAAGACTATGGTGGCACAAAAAACAACGTTTTTTGGCAGGGAGACATTGCTAACTTGTTGGAGGTTTAATGTCGGTTCCTTGCAGTAGGACACTGGAGGAGCTGTGTACATGCTCCCTTTTTCCCCCGTTGACTACCTGTAACATCACAGCTGGTTGCTTTGACAAAGAATATGGTGTCACAAAAAACAACATTTAGAGGAAAACGCAGTGCAGCTGTGTGAGGGAGCAACTTTGTTGCAGTTGGGTGTACTCAACGGGTATGAATTTGGCCCTCTAACTTCAGGTGGGAATCAGCAGGAACCAACAAGATCATAATCAACACAGCTTTTGTTTATAAGTAAGTGCCTGAATGATAAAGTCTAGGGAAGAAAGTGCGATATACAGGCCGAGATATTTTAAAGAGGTTGTAGTTTACAATGAGTTACAGTAGTTTCTGGGATACTAACGCGGGGGGGGAGACAGGTGGCACATGAATCCATGTAGCTAGCAATACCACTGGCTATGTCAAGCACCATCACCTCATTCGCTCTACTGCAGTTAGAGTCACAACAGAATACAGCTCTGCGTCACACAACAGATGCCTTGTGAGCCCCATTCCACAGAACCGTGCCAATTACACTGCTAATAGGTCCCTACTGAACTGGTTATATACTTTATTGACTACATTACTAAAAATACAGAAGACAACACAAGGCTATGAAAGCCTACCCTGTCCTGTACTCTGGCAATCACCAGATGTCTGTGTGGCATATGCCTACTTGATCCTAATAGGTGATCTCTGTTTAATGCTCCTGAAGTAAAAAAAAGCCAAATGTCCCTGCCAATACTTTGTGAAAGTAGGAGGCGGGAGGGATTCCTTTTTGATTCAGAATCAGGCAGGCAGTTCAACCCTCTGCATGAGAACTAGAATCACCATGGTTATTCTATCTAAGTCTCTAAATCCATTTATACCCGAGATAAAAATTAATATAGAAATAATTGCCCATTTTTCTAATGAAATGCCTTACTGCCTATCATGAGAGGCTAGAACTGTAAAGGAGAATTCATTCCCTTGCATAAAATACCAAAAATATATTTTTATGGTCTTTCATAAAAGACAGTTCTTGAGTATGTAAATGAGGCAGACTCTTCGTCACCTACTGCTGTGCCAACAGTATTTTACTGTACAAATTTAGAGGCCATGCTGAGGGCATTCTGAAATTTGCCCTAAGAATCTGAGACACTAAGATTTCAGAAATTCAAAGGTTAGATGAAGAGATGATCAACCTTTAGCTCCTAACTACTGTGTCTTTAAAAGGAATAAACACTGATTTAAAGATGATGCGCCCCTGTCAGATGTGATATTCCTGGATTTTGTCATCTCTATTTTCATTCTAGTCTATTCACCATTCTGTGCATGTGCATAGCTCCCTATCAAGACTACTTTGAAGCAGAGCAGATGGGCAAACCTAACCTGTTCTTCCAAAGCGGAAAAATGGATCTTACACTACCTCCTGCATGAAGTTCTGTGTCCTCTGAACCACAAAATCAACATGGTAGAATTTGAAGCGGCTCTTGAGGTCCTGGAGTGGTTCCTGGAGGAGATGAACTTTCAGATAGCAAGGTTCCATTTTCACAGAGTTGAATGGCAGGTTCATCAGCTGCTCCAAATTCTGCATCCCAGTGGGGGAAAAAAATATTTTACAAAGAAAACAATCTGAGATGGATTCTTAATATAGAAATTTAGTGATGGTCACACAACTGATTGTAGCGAATCATTATTCAATTTATTGTACTCTGTGTGTCTTTGAATCAGATGACTATTTAACTGAGAAAAAACAGGAATTTATACCTATTGGTCTGCAGAGCCAATATAACTATTGTCAATTAAGATCTATATAGAGAATTTTTATAACATGTGAGTGTGTAAAAAAGGACCCAAACTTCTTTTCTTACTTCCTTCAGCTTTGTGGCATCATTTGTCTTCTGGAAGTCCTGGCAGATCTCATTAACTTCTTTTTCAAAGAGCAAACGGACTTCACTGAATCCAGAGCTTACTGGGCCCATGAGCTCTTCCAATATGGAAGGCAAAAATGGCTGGATATTCTCCATGCAGCACTTCTCAGCAGGCTCGGAGACTGTTGCTGAGGTATTAAAGAATCAGACAGACATGTTTTAGGCCACCAGGTGGTAGACTGAAGAATCTAAATGAAAGGGCTACAGACTGCTAGAATGAGTTCTAGCAGAATACTTTCCCCAGAGCCATTTATGACACTTATCCTCCTCAAACATGACTTGGGTAAGGAAGGGAAGAGTTTGTGGAGTTTAAATTGTCATTTAAAGATATTTTTTCCTTCCTGCCAAATTATAGTGGATTGGACGCATTGTGAGTGAAGAAGAAATATAGGCGGGTATTGACAAACACTGGGATGTCTGTAAATAGCATGGTCATTGTGATTTAAGGTACACTGTCTTACATGTTAATTCAACAGGGAACTTTACATGGTAAGGAAAACAACCTACACTCCCTTGAACAAAAATATTTAGTGCCCTAAAAAGAAATGCTCCAATTTTTTTTAAAATAACTGCCTAAATCTTCATCTATTACTTGTCACCTGTGGTTTCTAGAAAGAGTGCTTCAGCAATATATGCTAATGTTTTGTCTACTTTTTATGTTAATTTACATATTTGTTACAAAACTATAATCACGTCATACGAGTTTTAAATCATTCAATAAGACATTTGTTTTAAGTATGCTTCAGCACCATAGACATTTATCGCTAAATCAAAAGTTCCACTGTGGAGCATGTAAGCCATATTCTGCTTTCGGTTGTGCTTGTGTAACCTATATCTTCATCACATAATGCACGTGAAACTGAAAGCAGAATTAGCCATTCTAATCAAAATTTTCAAAAGTGGCCAGTGATTTGGGTTGCCTCCACTTCCAGGAATCCAGGTTGAAGTACCTGGCCCCTGACATTGAGAAGGGCTAAGCAGTCACAATTCTCACTGAAGCCTGTGGAAGCTGCAGGTGCTCAGCACTTTCTGTAAATCAGAGTCTCGAGTCGGGCATGCAAACCAGCGGTCACTTGACAATTCAAGCATCTGAGGGCAATGGGTAATTCTGAAGAACAGCGCCAGAACAGTGAGACATGGGGAGAGGGTGTTGTGTTTTGTTTTTATCCCCACTAACCTTTGATTTTTCCAGCTAAATAGTTCTTTGAATTCAAAATCTGATCCATGTCTGAACGAATCGTTCCTTCTAGATTCTTTGTAAGATCTTTACATTCTTCCTTCAAGGTGTTTAATCCTTCTGAAACCTGCTCCTGGACCAGGTTGTATGTTTCTTCCACAATCTAAAAACAAAAAATAAAAGTATGTCTGGACTAGCACACTGGACAATTGCTATGCAAGACAAGAGCTGTGCAAAGGACAGTACTTACAGCAAACCAAACCCTCTTCCTATCATTCCTCTTTCCTTTCATTTTAGGCAGGATCATGGTCTGAAGGTTAGGCAGGAGCTCCTCCATCACAAGGTTGCTCAAGATCTACAAGGTTTAAAAAAAAACCACAACCAGAATGACATTTTCAGTCCTCACCCTTCTGTTGAACACTGCACTTGTGCTACATTTTCAAATGTGGGTATCCTCAAATATTACATAACTCTTTTGCTATCCCAGGTAGCCAAGACATCTTCTCACAATACAGTTTTCACAATGTGAAGATTAATTGATTGCATTCAAACTGAGAGACCATTTTTGGCACTTCAGTTATACTTGTGGGAGGGGGGGCGGGGGAAATGGGACCTTTATGCTTTCTTGATGCATTTGCTATTGACAGTAGTAAGAGACAAGAAATGTGACTGTGTGGGCCATGGATCTATTGAAATACTACAGATCACGATTCTCTTTCCTAAAACTTACTATGTGGTTTTAAAGATAAAAGGCTGGCTCCTCTGCTGTGGCAAGTCACTGGAGCGACTGTGATTTACATCAACTGAAGACCTGGACTAAAATATTTACAAGATGAAAAATGGTGAGTTTTGATAAGGGTTCAGAATGGAAGCCTTGGATCTCATGTTGCCATTGCCCCAAGCTGTCTGCATTCTCACCCACTGCTAGCTGTCCTGCCGGGGTCACTTTTTAAACAGAATTTTAAACAATTCTACAGAATTACTGGCTGAAGGTTGCACCTAAGGCTGGATAGCCCTACTAAAAAGTGTTTCGAAGGGATGCTGGACCCAACAAAAGAAGATATAAATACACCAATGTGGGGAATCCGAGGACTGTTTTTGGTGAGCATTATCTCAGCAAGTCAAAATGGAGGAAGAACTGGTATGTGAGCAGGATGTAAATGGAAACAGAGTCCACAAACTCAGTCTAATCTTGGAATAAGTTAATGCTACCCCAATGCTTACACTATCAATAAGGATTTATTTTTCCAGGGACTCACAGCATAGACCATAAAAAAAAAATAGTAACTTCAGGCTGAGACTTGAGAGAATAACAGCCACTCCAAAATTGGATTTTATGGAGGAAGAACTCATACATTTAAGGTCATGATGATAATTAATACCATTATGAGCTGGGTGAAACCTTGCTATGGGTTAGGTTAAAACCCCATTGAGGTTGATATGTTAACTGAAGGGTGAGTTCACACCTAACTTTAAACATAAGCCCTACCTAAGAGAAAAAGGTGTGAGAGACCCTGCCTGGGAGCTTTTGGGCTGAGTATTGCTTTGGATAGATGTGTGGGAGTGTGAGAGAACACAGAGATACTGAGGTCACAGACAAGAACAGAGAAAGAGGGAGAAGCAAAGAGGCAAGATAAGCCAAGCAGGAGCCTGTGAGCACAGTGTGACCCTGGAAAAAGCTAGACAGCGAGCATTTGGGTCTGGTATTAGATAAAGAGGCTTCAGGGCAGTAAGCTAAGAAACCGTTCCTTTTGTTCTTGGTTCCTCCTGCATTCAGAGATACAGGACTTCATACATTCTTTATAAATAAACAAAACTGCACCAAAGAAATACCTATCACAAATTTCTACTTCCAGCTGGACCATCCCAGGGCCCCAAACCTTGACTAATGGGTCCGGTCAAAAAGAGGCAACAATATGATGGAATAGCAGTAGCTGCAAATTTCCATGCTGTGCTTGAACTTAGAACCAGAAATTTAAAGATTTCCCTTTCCCCACCCTTTCCAACCCCCACAACTACAATGTTTTTCTAAGGATTTTAACTTTTAAGTTACTGATCTGTTCTTCTCAGCCTTAACTCCATCTTCATAAGGTCTTTGTCTGGGAATTTTGTTATTTACCAAACGTGCTAGATGGTTTACAGATACATATGAAAACATGTTGTTTGCTGCCACAAGTATCTTACAATCTAAATACTACAGTCAGATTCAACTATGCTGAACCAAGTACCTATCAGAAAATAACTGATCTAAGAAAAGGTCCTGCAAGGTCATCCAGAAGCGTGCACTAATGCACACAAAACTGGGATGTCATGATCAAATAGGCAGTAACAATCTTCATAGTGACCAAACATACACTGATCAATGTGAATTTTAAAGGTATGTAAAAGTTACCTTTTTAAGAAATGTTCGATTGAATTTATATTTCTTTAATGAAAGGTATATTTTAGGGGACCCCAAAAAAAGAACGGTTACTCACCTTCTTATGACTGTTGTTCTTCGAGATGTGTTGCTCATAATTAGGTGTGTGCATGCCGCATGCACAGTCGTCGGAAAGTTTTTCCCTTAGCAGCACCCGTCGGGTCGGGTGTGCTATATATGACCCTGCAGACACGGTGCCTCCTCAGTTCCTTCTTGCCGGTTACTCCGACAGAGGGGAAGGCGGGTGGGTTTGGAATGGATAGGAGCAACAGGTCTTGAAGAACAATAGTTACAAGAAGGTGAATAACCGTTGTCTCTTCTTTGAGTGATTCCTCATATCGATTCCAGTTAGGTGACTCCCAAGCCTTACTTAGGCAGTGGGGTCGGAGTTATGGAATCGCTCATTGGAGCGCTTCTCTGCCGAAAGCTGCATCATCTCTAGCATGCTGGACGATGGTGTAATGAGAGGTGAACGTATGCATTGAGGATCAAGTCGCTGCCCTGCAGATTTCTTGGATCGGGACCTGGGCCAGGAATGCTGCCGATGAAGCCTGTACCCTTGTGGAGTGTGCTGTAAATGTCGGGGCTGGGATTTTGGCCAACTCGGATGCAGAATGTGATCCAGGAAGATATTCTTTGCGATGATACCGGGAGTCCTTTCATCCAGTCAGCCACCGCTATGAATAGCTGGTTCGACTTTCTGAAAGATTTAGTGCGTTTGATGTAGAAGGCCAGCACCCACCTAACAACCAGAGTGTGCAGCCTCTGCTTGCGGTAACTGGCATGAGGCTTAGGATAGAAAATGTGCAGGTATAGGTCTTGACTTGTATGAAAATTGACACAACCTTAGGAAGAAAGGCTGAGTGAGGCCTAAACTGCACCTTATCCTTGTGGAAGACGGTGTAAGCTGGGTCAGAGGAGAGGGCCTTTAACTCAGACACCCTCCTTGCTGAGGTAATGGTGACCAGAAAAGCTACCTTGTATGATAGAGACAGAAGGGAGCAAGTCACTAGCGGTTCAAATGGGGGTCCTCATTAGTTTGGAGAGGACCAAGTTAAGGTCCTATGCAGGGACTGGCTGTCTAATCTGGGGATGGAAGCGTTCCAGGCCCTTGAGAAAATGTCCCACCATGGGGTTGGCAAATACGGAGCATCCAGATACTCCTGGGTGGAAGGCCGAGATAGCAAAGAGGTGAACCTTGATGGATGACACTGCCAGGCCTTGTTGTTATAGGTGTAGGAGGTACTCTAGGATGAGTGGTATAGGCACCTGGAGTGGAGGTGTAGATCGCTGGGCACACCAGCAAGTGAACCTTTTCCACTTAGCAAGATAAGTGGCCCTGGTGGGTGGTTTCCTGCTGCCAAGCAGGACCTCCCTTACAGGTTCCAAGCAGAGAAGTTCCATGGGATTTAACCATGAAGCTTCCAAGCCAGGAGATGGAGGGACTTGAGGTCTGGGTGGAGCAGGTGACTATGGTCCTGAGTGATCAGGTCAGGGTGGAATGGCAATGGAATTGGGGAGCCCATTGACAGTTCTAGGAGCGTGGTGTACCAGTGCTGTCGAGGCCACGCTGGGGCCCACCAGGATTACCTTCGCTCTGTCCCTGCAGACCTTGTGCACAGGAGGGAATGGGGGAAAGGCATACAACAGGCAGCCTCCCCAGGGTAGCAGAAACATGTCTGTGATGGAGCCCGGGCTGTGATTCTGGAAGGAGCAAAACATTGGGAACGTCCTATTGCTGTGGGTGGCAAACACGTCAACCTGGAGAAACCCCCACCTTTGGAAGATGGAGTATATGACATCTGGACAGATGGACCACTCGTGATTGCGGAACGATCTGCTGAGGTGGTCTGCCAGGTTGTTCTGAGCCCCTGGGAGATAAGGTAGTTCCAGGTGAATGAAGTAGGCTATGCAGAACTCCCAGAGCCTGAGGGCTTCTCGACACAGAGGGGAGGAATGGGCTCCACCCTGCTTGTTGATGTAAACATGGCAGTGGTGTTATCTGTCCTTATTGCCACGCACTGGCCTTACAGCTGGGCCCAAAAAGTTTGGCATGGTAGGCGTACCACCCTGAGCTCCTTGACGTTGATATGAAGGGAGAGCTCATCCAGGGACCATAGGTCCTGTGTTTGTTGATCTCCCAAATGCGCACCCCCAACCCAGTAGTGATGTATCCGTTACCAGGGACGAGGAGGGCTCGGGGCTGTTGAAGGGGACTCCCTCGCACACCATCTTGAGGGTCGAGCCACCATTCAAGGAACTTGAGTATGTGCTCTGGTACTGTCACTACTAAGTCCAGGTTATCACGTCCCGGGCAATAGGCCAACGCAAGCCACGCTTGCAGGGGTCTGAGCCTCAGCCTGACATGCCAGACCACATAAGTGCAGGCTGCCACGTGGCAAAGGAGATATAGGTAACCCCCTGCAGTAGTGGTCGGGAATCGCCTGAGGCCTTGAATGATGTTTGACATGGCTTGGAATTGTGTGTCTGGCAAAAACACTCTTGCCTGCACCGAGTCCAGCACTGCTCCGATGAACTCTATTCTCTGGGTCAGAGACAAGGTTGACTTGTTCACATTGAGGAGCAGGCCCAGTCTCTCAAATGTGGATCTGACAAACTGGATCTGAGATTCCACCTGCTCCCTAGTGCACCCCTTGAGTAGCCAGTCGTCGAGGTCGGGGTGTACCTGCATCTGTCTGTTGCGAAGGAAGATGCTACGACTGACATGCACTTGGTGAAAACTCGGGTGGCTGTCAACAGACCAAATAGGAGGACCATGAACTGATAGTTTTGTGGTCGACCACAAAACTTAGAAATTGTCTGTGCGTGGGGCAAATGGCTATTTGAAAGTACACGTCTTTCATGTTGAGGGTGGCGTACCAGTCTCCCGAATCCAGGGAAGGGATAATCGTGCTCAGGGAGACCATACGGAACTT